GGGACTTTTTTTGATATTTCTGGGAATGTTTGGGCCATGTTTGATTCTTGTTTATTTTTCGCCCAGAATCCGCCTGTAGGGGGACACGCCCGACCTCAGCCTACCCAGACATCTGGCCGCTGCAGCTTCTTCGGTGCATGGCGCCCTGAGGTCTGGACCACTTCCCCAAGGCCGGTTGTTCGTCCCGAGTTGTTCCTGGACGGTCCCGAGGCCCAGCGAGAGCCCCCTGAGGCCGACAGCCGCCCAAGACCGCCTGCTCCAGGCTTCTGCGGGAGCGCCGGGTCTCTGGGTCCAGCGCGAGCCGGGCCCAAGGGCCCCCCCCCCGATCTGGCGGAGGAGGAGGAGGAGGAGGAGGAGGAGGAGGAGGCGCAGGAGGAGGAGGAGGGGGAGGAGGAGGAGGAGGAGGAGGAGGAGGAGGAGGAGGAGGAGGAGGAGGAGCGGCCCCAGGGGCGCCGCAGAGGCCGGGGGCCCCTCGGGACGGTGCCGTCGTGGTCGGTTTGGGTGGCTGCCCGCCCTCGGCGGCGCGGCTGGCCAGGACGGGCCCCTGGGAGGGGTCCTTGGGACGGGCCGCCTCCTCGCCCTGCGCCCCCGCGCGGCGCGCCGCCGGAGGTTCACCGCCGACTCGGACGCGGTGGGCAAGGAGAGCCTCGGCGCAGCCTCTCCTCGGCGGCGCGCGCAAGGGGGTGGGGGGAGGGGCAAAGGGCTTCGAGGAAGGAGGCTGCTCAGAAGGAGGGGGGAGGGCTTCTCAGAAGGAGGGAGGGGAGAGGGAGGGCTTCTCAGAAGGAGGGAGGGGGAGGGAGGGGGGAGGGCTTCTCAGGAGAAGGAGGCTTCGCACGGAGGGAGGGGAAAGGGCTTCGCAGAAGGAGGCTGCTCCTCAGAAGGCGCCGGCCTTGCATCTACAGATCAGGCGTGGCTGGCCCTCCGAGACCCGCTCGCGCTCAGAACCAGTTGTGCTCAGTTTGAGTCGGGTATGTACTTCTACTGGAGGAATATTCAACAATAGTCAACACATAGTCTGGGGATGAGTTTCCTATTGTTTTTGAATGCTGTGGGGTATTTGTTTGGCATGTTTTTGTCCAAATTCCGCTTGTAGGAGGACATGTCTGGGCTAATGCTCAGTCAGCCGTACTCCATCTCACTCACCCCGAGACTTGCCCATGTCAGGCGCTCGTAGACAGGGGAAGGGAGCTTCGCAGAAGAAGATGTGCATTTGGAGATTCCCGCGTCGAGTAGAGTTTGTTCACTCGGGGACACCACGAAAGGGCCTCGAACACGGCAGCGCGCAGTGAGCACGTCACGAATTGAAGCTTGTGTGCGTGCAAAACAGCATTGCGGCCGTCATTTAGTCATTGAGTTGATACGCGGCCCAGAACCCAGTTCTCCGACGTCACGATTCGTTCACCCCGAAGCTCTGGACTTCCCCAGTGCGAGTCTTTCGTTGTTGCTTTTGCTGTTTGTTCCCCCCCCCCTCTCTCTCTGTCTCTCTCTCTCTCTCTCTCTCTCCCTCAGCTTGTTTTATGTGAAGTGTGTATGCGCGTGCGCTCCTGAGCACTAGTTCTTTCTTCTTCTGTCAGTCCTGGGCCCCTCAAATCAGCCCCAGATCACGGACAGCTGAGCGGTGCAAAAAACGGGGGTCGCCTGCGCCAACATTCGCGCGTAAGCTGCCCGCGTAAGGTCGCGCGTAAGTGCACTAGTCGCCAGTGCGGCGTGCAGCGCTGGCGGCCCGCGTAAGCCGCGGCGTAAGGTCGCCACGTCATCTCGTGTGAGACCCGTTTTTTGATCGTCGCTCATGTTGGCGATGTCGCTCTCTGCGATCGTCGCTCTCTGCGATCGTCGCTCTCTGCGAAGAGCATCCAGGGCGATGTTGGCCTGGACCTTCCCCGTCCCAGAGTCGACCTTTGGGCCTGTGCTGGGGGTCGCTCTCCGACGATGTGCGGGGACCCCGAGCGGCCAAAGAAAGCAGCGCTCGGCTCGCAGATGGCTAAGTTTACGTCGGGCGTGTCCCTCTACAGGAGGAATGTTCAATAATAGTCAAAACATAGTCTGGGGACGATTCATTGATTATGTTTGACTCTTTAGAGTTTCGTGCTGATTATCTTTGATTTTTACATGCGAAATTCGCCTGAAGGAGGGCATGCCCGACCTAAGGTTGAGTACGGTGTGTATAAGAGCACGCGTGCCCTTCTGCTGCCGTTTTGGCGCACAGCGCCCCATTCCCTTGCAGCCGTTGTGTTTCATTTTCTCAGCCCACCCGGACTATTGCGGCAGTAGGGGTCGTAGCGGGCAGGCCCGGCCTGTGTGAATCACATTGTTGATTGCCGCGCAGTGTAGCCAGAAACACAGGCAGGGTGGTGATCGTTTTCTGATCCATTGTTTTGCTGATCGGCGCGGGCCCTCGCACCCCCTCTTCCAACCCCCATGGAGTAGATCTTGGCTGTGTTTGGTGCCTGCTTCACGCAGGGGGAGTCTTCCCCATGGGGCGAGCTGTTGCAAACAGTCGCACGAAGCAGGGGGAAAAGGGAAGCCGAAAGGCAGCGTGCGGTTTGACAGTGGCGTTGGGCGTGGGCGAGGAAGCACGACCGCGTGGCGCCGCGCGCAGCGCAGCAGCCGGCGGAAGGCACATCCATTCTACCTTATGTCCTCCTCCTCCTGCTCCTGCTCCTGTTCCTGCTGCTGCTGCTGCTGCTGCTGCTGCTGCTCCTTCTCCTCCTCCTCCTCCTCCTCCTCCTCCTCCTCCTCCTCCTCCTCCTCCTCCTCCTCCTCCTCCTCCTCCTCCTCCTCCTCCTCCTCCTCCTCCTCCTCCTCCTCCCCCCCCCCACTTCCGCCCAATGTCGAAGCGCCGAAGCAGAAAACCTCCACGTGGGAAAAGGCGCGACGCGCGCTCGCAGCAGCACCGCGCGGCTTCCAAAGTGATGCCGCACTCCTCTGGGGCCCCCCTTCGGCCCCCCCCCGGAGGTCTCCGGGGGCCTCGGGAGGTCACCTGGTGTGCCCGGAGGCCTCTGGAGACCCCCAGGGGCCCAGGAGGTGCCAGAGGTGTCGTTCTCGATCCTCGTCCTCGTCCCCCTCCGCCTCCTCCCCCTCCTTCTCAGCACGGTCGTGCCGAGAGGTATAAGGTCGAGGTCGGCTCGGGGAGGGTGCCCTGGTGCCCTTCGTGCTTGTTGGATATTCTTGTGCCTCCAGGGGAGGTTACCCTTGGATGTTGTGTGTGTATATGTTTTTTGGCCGGCGGATGGTCTCACGCTCTTGAAGGATGTTCTTCTGTCCTGGGTCCGACTGTACGGTCGACCCGAGCAGTGAGGATGGGCACCCTTCCCAAGGGCACCCTTGCATCCGTGCCCCTTCGGCCCATCCTTGGCCTCTTGCGCTGACCGCGCCCCGCTCGAGAAGCTTCGACGTGGCCCTCCCAAGGCCCGCTGCATCCTTGTCGCGCATCCCTCTGCTACGGTCAAGTCGGGCCTGTCTGTCCCTCTACAGGGGGAAAATTCAAAAATAGTCAAAAATAGTCTGGGGACGTTTTTTTGTTTGTTTGTTGTTTTTTGTGTGTGTGCGTGCCAATTCTGGAGCATTTTTTGCATATGCTCTATCTTTCCGCCCAAAATCCGCCTGTAGGGGGACACGCCCGACTTCATGCTATGGCTCCGGCTGCAGCCGGCCCGCTGCGCCCCCTGCGCCCCGCGCCCCGGGGCTCCTCGGCGCCCCGCTCCTCGCCGTGCCGCTGCGCCCCGCTGCGCCCCGCTGCGCCCCGCTGCGCCCCGCTGCGCCCCGCTGCGCCCTCTGCGCCCCTCTGCGCCCCGCTGCGCCCCGCTGCGCCCTCTGCGCCCTCTGCGCCCTCTGCGCCCTCTGCGCCCGCTGCGCCCTCTGCGCCTGTAGCCAGCCCGCTGCGCCCCCTGCGCCCCCCGCGCCCCGGTGTTCCTCTCGGCGCCCCTGCTCCCCAGGTGCCGCCGCGTGCTCCCCACGGCGCCCACACACACCGCAGAGCGGAGCTCTCTCTCCGGAGGCGATGGTCGGGGCCCGACGAAAGGGGGGGGATAGGGAAATTTCCCCCTTAAGGGGGGGTGCGAAATTTGCTATCCCCCCCTATGCTAGCCCCCTTTGCTATCCCCCCCTTTGCTATCCCCCCTTTGCTGATTCTCAAGCACCCCCTTTGCTATCCCCCCCTGTCGCCCGACCAGAGATGGGGTGGGTCCGGAGAGTCCTGGAGAGTTTCGTTCCGGCTCTCGGAGGGCATTCTCAGCGTCGCCTCCTGGCCAGGAAGGAAGACGACACAAAACACCCGCGTGAAATGCGCTTCGTCTTTCGCCCGCCGTTTTCCGGGGTTTTGCATCGACAGGACTCCGCGCAGAACTCCGCCGCAGCACGTCGGCAAGGTCGGCGCAGGGTGATGCTTCTCGGCGGCACAACATGTAACGCATGCCGTGTGACAGTGCCAGCCGAACTCGTGCAAGGCAGAGGGCGGCGGAATGCAGGCGCGCGGAGTGCAGCCTTACGATTCCGGCTCGTCTTTGGTGCCGGCAACGATTCCTAGACCCCAGATGCAACGTCCAACAGGTCTGACAAGCAAGCAGTGCTGAACACGCCCGGCTCTTCGCCAGCGTGGCAGTGCGGGCCCCCCGGATCTCTTCCGACGACGGGACGGGCCGACAGAGAAATGCGGGCAGAGCAGGGGTCAGTAACAGGCAGGACAGCGAGGAGCCGAGGAGCGAGCCATCTTCGAACCCCCCCTCCGCCGGCAGCTGCGGCCGGCATCCGCCTCCGCGTCGCCACGCCCCGCCGCACGCCGCCGGCCAGCCGCGCGGGCCAGCGCAGCCGCGACCTCCAGCCAGGGCCCCCCCCTGCTGCTCCTCCTCCTCCTCCTCCTCCTCCTTCGCCCTCCTCCTCCTCCTCCTCCTTCTCCTCCTCCTTCTCCTCTCCTTCGTCCTCCCTCCTCCTCCTCCTCCTCCTCCTCCTCCTCCTCCTCCTCCTCCTCCTCCTCCTCCTCCCCCTCCTCACCCTCGAAGGAGATGGCCGCCGACATGGTCAACAGCGTGACGTCGGACGCGCCGCCGCAGGCGGGCGGGAGCGACCTCCTTCCCCTGCCGCGGGGGGGGCGGCCTCGGTGCCTTCTCTCGTCGGCTCGGGGGGGCCGCTCGAGGGTCGAACCTCGAGGTTCGTTTGTTTTGTGGGGTGGTTGGTGTTTTTTTTTCTTTTGCTGTAGCTATCTGTACGTAGTCATGTTTACTATGAATTTCATTGTTGGTATCATCGTTATGGTTATCACCATTATTACATCACATCTGAAAATCGGGCGTGTCCCTCTACATGAGGAGTACTGAAAAATAGCCAAATCATAGTACGGGGGCGATGTGCTGATTACATTGTCAGGTCTATTTTGAACATTCTTTGCGTATCTTTATTTTTTCGTGCAAGATCCGCCTGTAGGAGGACATGCCCGACCTCCATTTGTGTTCATGGTTTGTGTTTCTCCTTTCCCTGTGGGCCTCGTGCGTGCTTTTCGTCGCCGCGGGTGCATCCGCTTCTTGACTTTGATTCGGCGCTGCAGTGGAGGCCCATGCCAAGAAACACCCTGCTCGCCTCCAGGGTGCCCTGGGTTTCTTGGGTTTCGATGGTTTTTGCTGAGGAAAGCCTGACGTTCCCACACCAAACATGTATGGACGTCCTGGGGTCTCAGGGTTGGGTTTCTTGTGGAAGGCTTCTTGTGGACTGGCCTCCAGTGTATGTGGTCTCGGAGCGCTCCTCTGAGCGCTTTGGTAGCTCTCTGTGCTGCTTCGGCGATCTCCGTGCCCAGACTGCTCTTCGCCCGAACGCGCAACTGTTTGGCTCGTCCGGCCCCCGGCGCGTACGGGACTCTAGCTGCCCTGGCACGCCCGCGCTGAAACGCAGCACGCGCCGTGTTCAGGACGTCCGTGCTGACACGCTGCGTGTTGGTTCGGGACGTGTTGGGCCGCGCTCTTGGCGAGCGTGCCCCGCCAGACTTTCGCGCTTCTTCGGCCTGCGTGCTGAGCTCCGTGCCGGCACGCCGCGTGCTGCACGCTGCGCCTCGGGGCAGCCGAGGCACGGAGTGCTCGCCTGCGGCGCGCACGGGCTCTCGGCGTGCTGCGGCCCTCGGTGGCCCCTGCCGGGCCCCCTCGAAGGGAAGGCGAGGTGCGGACGGGGATGGGAAGCTGGCTCCGGGGAGAGGGCCAGGTCCCCCCCCCGGGGGCTGCTCACGCTCTTCTTCCAGCTCCCGGCGTCGGCTTGTCCGGAGGGCCAACTGCTGGACGTCCGCTGAGCTCCGGGTCCTCCGAGGCGTGTTTGTTCGTTTGTTTGTTTGTTTGTTGTTCTCTCGGCTGTGCTTCGTGTCTTTCTGCTTCCCCCCAGGCAGAAGTTCCACGAGCGCGTGCCACTAACTCGCAGAGTGCCTGCTCGCAAGCTTCCGACACGAACCCTGTCTTCCTCGATGTAGTGTATCGTCGACCCCCCCCACCGCGGGTCCAGGTCCTCTGCTCGCAGCTGCTCTGCGAGCAGCGGAGCGCGCTCTCCTAGAGAAGTCGTCTCGTCGCCGCGGCCAGGTGCCCTCGAGAGAGCTCTGGCCGCGGCCAGGTGCCTCAAGCATCCTGGCCGATCGCAGTCCCAGGTGATCGTCTTTATTCCTGGTTTTGCCGATCGGGGCGGCCCCCCCCCCCCCCCTTGTGGAGTAGAAGTAGACCTTGGCTGTTTTCTTGGCGCCTGTCTCGAGCAGGTGGAGCCTCCCCCAGAATGGACGCCCTGTTGCAAACAGCCGCATTCAAGCAGGGGTCCAGGAGCCAGATCCCCCTCCTTCACTCCCACTTCTGCCCAGTGTTAAGTCGGGCCTGTCCCTCTACAGGGGGAATATTCAAAAATAGTTCAAAAATAGTGCGGGGACCGTTTTTCGAGTCCTTTGGAGCACTTCTTGAGTATTTGTTTTGACTATTTTTCATCGCTCGTCCAAAATCTGCCTGTAGGGGGACCGGCCCGACCTACGCCCAGCGTCGAAACGCCGAATATCGGGCGTGGACAGACCTCCTATCATGACACGTCGGTTCTCGAGAGGGCGCCGCGGCCGTTATTCTCCAGACTTGCGCCCGCCAGGTTTGGGCCCGAGGTCGTTCTCACTAAACCACGTTTTACTGAAGGGGGTTCTGTCCATCCCCGAGAATAACAAAAAACGCTCACCAGACAAGAGGCCTGATCAGAGCGATGGGGGTCGGCCTGGGCCTGCGCAGCCTCGTCGGCGACGAGGCGGGGCGTGCGGTGCAGGTGGAGGCCCGTGCCGAGAGCAGGGGAACGAGTCCCGAGCATGTTTCTTTGGGTGGAGGAGGGGGAGGGAGAAGGAGGAGGAGGAGGAGGAGGAGGAGGAGGAGGAGGAGAAGGAGGAAGAGGAGGAGGATCACCGAGCATTTTCTTTGGGTGGAGGGCAAAGGGTGACATCTGAAAGGCCGTTTCGATGGGTGTTCGAGGCTTGCATCTGCAAAAGGTGAATCTCACAAGACGGACGGATTGTCGAGCTGCAGGAGCCCATGCGGATTGCACCCTGCGCCCTCCACCCTAAGAAAACGCTCAGACGAATAATGACATAAGCATAACAACTCGGAGGTCCGCGCGGATTTCTCGGATCCGCGCTGGACCCCCTGGCGGCGACTCTGGCGCCGCCCCTGGCGCGCTCCGCGCGCCAGGGAGGGGTGTCCGGCGCCGATCCGAGAAATCCGCGCGGACCTCAGAATTTTATGTTTCTGTCATTCTTCGTTCCCCAAAGAAACACCCTGCTTGCCTCCAGGGTGCCCTGCGTTTCCTGGGTTTCGATGGTTCTGCCATGGGAAGCGTTTCGTTCCCACACCAGACGTCGCTGGACGTTCTGGGGTCTCAGGGTTGGGTTTCTCGTGGCAGGTTTCTTGTGGTCGGGCCCCCACTGCAGCAGAGTCAAGGCGTGCGGTACCTGGTTTGGGCGCTCAGGGACCGTCAGGGCATGGTCTGGGCTGGGCACCAGCCTCTGGGAAGGAGTCGCGAGGCCCAGGGGCCCTAAGTCTGTGGCCGTCCTGTGGGCGTGCCGCGCTGCCTGAGAGCCCCTCGGGGCGGTCCGGGGCCGTGTCGGGGCCGTGCTGGGTCAGTGTGGGGTCGCCCGCGGATCGGCCCTCTTGGGGGTCAGGGGGGGGGGCCTCCGGGAACGTTCGGAAGCAGTCAGTGGCAGCCAAGGTGTTGTCTGGAGAACTTCTGGGAGCAATCATGGGCGAGGCAACCAAGGCCAGGACACTGCTGGCGGAGCATTGTATGCTACCGCCGAGAAACCCAGCAGGCAGGGGCAACAAAGAGGGGCAGGACCTTCTGAGCGGAACCTGATGCAGCTACCAGGGAATCCAGCAGACAGGGCGGCTGGGGGCGGGGCTCGATGGACGGGACTCCGTGCAATAGCAGCGGGAAGCCCTTTGGACAGAGGCAACCGAGGGCGTGATCCGATGCGACTCTGGGCCACGGGGAGCCTCGGCGGGGCACTGCGGCACCCCGCCGCCTCCGACGCCCCAGGAGGGTGGAGAGTCCTCGGGGCCGGGGCCACTGCCGCGAAGGCCCTGCGGCCTGTGCCGCCGACCTGGGGGGCGGGGCGCCTCCGGGGGCCCGGCGCTCCCCCCGCGGGGCCCGCCTGGGCCACGCAGGGCGGGCGCGGAGCCGGGGCCCCCCTTCCCGCGCTACAGGCGGGAGAGGCCTCCCACGCGGCCCCCTCGGGGACGCCCCGCTCGCAGGGCCCCTCCCCTCCGCCCCTCTGTCCTCCCTGTCCGCAGGGACCACCGGGGGGGGGAGGGGGTCCGCCGGGACCGCGAGGGGGGGCGGTGATCTGACCCGAGGCCCCTCCCGTACCCCCCCCCCGTCTGCCCCGCCCCCCGTGCCCCCGCTCCCCCCCGTCAGGGAGGGGAAACGGGAGGGAGCCGACTTGACCAGGACGTTTCTTTTCTTTTTTTTGTTCATTCCCTACATGTCCTTGGGACTGGCGACGACGACGACGACGACGACGACGACGACGACGACGACGACGACGACGACGACGACGACGACGAAGTTGACGAAGTTGACGACGACGACAGCCTCTCGCACACCCCGAAGGGTCGGCGGATTTTCCAGAATGAGCAGATGATGCCAGCGCGTGGGCCCAACATGATATTGTAGGAGCGGCCCCAGTGCATCTCGAGGCACTTTGCTCGCACGGCACAGTTACAGTCGCAATGAAGACCGACCTCTCCTCGCACGGCACAGGGCTTCTCTCCCCTCTCCCCCTCTGGCTTCGCCAGTCCGCCGCCCTGCTTCATCCTCCTATGCCTCCCTCCGCTCCTCCTCTCCCCTCTCCTCTCCCTCTCCTCCGCCCTCTCCGGCCCCACGGCCTCCGCCTGGCCCCCACCTCGGGGCGCCCAGCCTCAAGAAGAGAAATCAGAGTGTTCTGATGTGCTCGCATCCGTGTCCTACGCACCCCCTGGTGTATGTCCTCGTGCTTGCTTGCTTATGCGTGTGGAGCACTACGCGTGCGTTGATCACATGTACGATAACCTGTTCGATCGTTGCGTGTTTTGTTTTTTGTGTGTGTGTGTGTGTGTTTGTCGCTTATCGAACTTGGCTTGCATTGGCCGACGCGGCCGCGTGGATGGCTACCAACCAGGCCGAAGTCGTTAGCGCAACAGTGTGTGTATGTGTGTGTGAGAGTGAGACGAACACTTGCACTTCGAGCTGCACCCGCCACGGGAGGCACTGCGCCCCGCGTGACGCTGCATTCTTGCCCGCGGTTGCAGGGGAATCTGCGCAGCACAAACAACTGCATCGGCACTGTGTGCCCCCCGCTAGTGGTCGTCTTTCGGCGTCACCCCAACATACTCATACTATATGTGTGTTGCCCCCTCAGGGGCGACGCGCGCACCGAGAACTCTTACACTGTATGCGTCGTGGCAGGCGCTTTCTGGCCACACCGCTCGGGAAACGATATACTATTTGTTTGGGTCGGACGCGCGCCTCCAAGGAGAGCATATAGTATTCGTATGTCCTTGTTCGTCCCATTCTTGCCGCCGCGCTTGGGGCCTGTCGGGGGTCTTCGTGGCGTGTCGCGGCCGCGTCCGGGGTCTGGGGCCGACTTGGGAGCCGCACGGAGGGCACATCAAATCGTACATCGGCCTGCCAGCCAGCGCCCTGCGGAGATTTCTGATCCCCAGATGGCCCAAGGAACCCACGGGAGCTTTGGGGCACACTGCGTGAGGCCCTCAGCGTTCGACGGCTGATGTGCTCCCGTACTGCGAAGGCCTTACAGCCGGTGCAGCCGACCCTGTTCGCTAGGACGAGGAGGAGGAGGAGGAGGAGGAGGAGGAGGAGGAGGAGGAGGAGGAGGCCCCCGTATTTCGCACAACAAGATTTCGAATCGTACGTCTTCGCTGTTTTTGCTGCTACGGGGTCCCTCCAGGGAGGCCATCTGCGGGCTGCCTGAACGAATGAAACTGCCAACAGGCCAACGGGTCTGCTACCATGTCGTTTCGCACTCATCTGCGCGTTCTCGGGGTGGAGGCGCGGTGAGGCGTGCCAGGGCGCATGAGTCATAAAGTGTGCCCAGTTCTCTTCTTTCCTTGTTGGCCCCGTGCCCTCTGCAATCTCTCGGTATGGACACTTGTCTCCTTTCCCCTGGCCACATCCAGCCGTTGCGCCGCCTCGCCGCTCCTTTCTGTTCTTTTCCCGCTGCTGTGTCGGACTGCCGCCTGAGAGAGAGAGAGAGAGCCGAGAGACTCCCACAGCCCTTGTCTCCTAAGGCGGCGGAGCCAGCTCGGGCAGCTGCAGAGGTCGCCAGCGTTGCTCAGCCAGTACAGGAGAGCTCCGCGCCCCAGCCAGAGGCTGCCAGCAACTCTGTGGCGCCGCGGGAGAGCAGCGTGCCCCAGGCAGAGGCGTCGAAGGCAGCGGAGCCAGCGCAGGCAGCCGCAGAGGCTGCAGGTGCCGTTCAAGTCTCGCAGGAGCGGCCTGGCACGCTGCCAATGCCAGCAGTGTCGGAGGCCGCTATCTCCGCAGTCAGCTCTGCCGATGCTGGCGCCCACGCAGCCAGAGCATTCGTTGCCACGGCTGCGGACCGAGCTGGGGCCTCTATTGCATCCAGCGAGATGCTGGTGAGCGGCGTCTCGACTGCGTCCGAGGCTGCCGGAGAGATGGCAGGGCAACTGCTTGGTCCCCTGGTGAGGCCTGGCGACCAGGAAGCTGCTGCCACTGTGCTCAGCACCACCCGAGGCCCGCAGCAGAGCGCCGATGCACAGCCAGTGGTGCCCAAGGCAGCGGAGCCAGCACAGGCGGCTGCAGAGGTAGCCGGCGCCGTTCAAATCTCTCCCGCGCATCGCTCGAGGATTTCAATTTTTGGGCAGTCCCTAGCATAGTTTGGCAATCGGATCGTGTTGAGTCCTTCACAGCGGTGCTTCCGCTGCAGCGTTGGACACAATTCAGGATCGGTGCTCGGCTCCCATCGTCCAGACTGGCGCTCTCGCCGCAGCTCGTGCCGTTTTTTTGGAGTGGACCTGCCTCGTCGTTGCCGTCCACCTCCTTTCCCATACACCTCCTCCTCCTTCTCCTGATCCTTCTGTTCCTGCTACTCCTCCTGCTCGTGCTCCTCCTCCTCCTCCTCCTCCTCCTCCTCCTCCGCCTCATCCCTCTATCCTTCTCCTCTGCCTCCTGCTCCTCCTGCTCTTCCGCCTCCGCCTCCTCCTCCACAATCGGATATAGCCAGATCCCTGGGTAAGGAGAGCCAGTTAGTGGTTGGGCCCCGGAGCCCAAAACGTTGGCCAGAAACACTAAACCAAGTCTGCTGTAGCTGGTGTTTTTTTGGGGCACGGCAGCTCCGGTTCGTGAAATAAGGCGGTGGGGCGTCTTCTAACACACAGCACTAAACCAGGTCCCACTAAACCCAGTCCCGCCCCGCCAACGCCCGATACAAGCTCCCCCTTCACGATTGCGCTTCAAGTGATGTGTAAACCGGCAACTGCCATTTCAGGATCAGGGTCCTCGAGAACACACGAGTAGGCGGACATAAACTAATTTAACGCAGTGAAGATTTACGGGTGGGAGGAGAAGGATGCCAAATGTGGCGCGACCGCGCCCCACATGCTTCTCCACTCTTTTGGACTCTCGTCCCGTTCTGTACCAGACTGCCGCCTGAGAGAGCCGAGAGACTCCCACAGCCCTTGTCTCCGAAGGCGGCGGCGCCAGCGCGGGCAGCTGCAGAGGTCGCCAGCGTCGCTCAGCCAGTACAGGAGAGCTCCGCGCCCCAGCCAGAGGCTGCCAGCAACTCTGTGGCGCCGCGGGAGAGCAGCGTGCCCGAGGCAGAGGTGCCGAAGGCAGCGGAGCCAGCGCAGGCAGCCGCAGACGCTGCACGTGACGTTCAAGTCTCGCAGGAGCTGCCCGGCACGCTGCCAATGCCAGCAGTGTCGGAGGCCGCTATCTCCGTGGTCAGCTCTGCTGACACGGGCGCCCATGCAGCCAGACTGTTTGCTGCCACGGCCGTGGACCGCGCTGGAGCCTCCGCTGCAACCAGCGAGGTGTTCGTGAGCGGTGTCTCGACTGCGTCCGAGGCTGCTGGAGAGATAGCAGGGCAAGTGTTCAGCACCTTGCTGAGGTCCGCTGACCAGGAAGCTGCCGCCACCGTGCTCAGCGCCACCCCAGCCCCGCAGCAGAGCGCCGATGCACAGCCAGAGGTGCCCAAGGCATCGGAGCCAGCACAGGCGGCTGCCGAGGTCGCCAGCGCCGTTCCAGTCTCGCAGGAGATCGGCGAGGCGAGGCCCGAGGTGGCCAGCCCCGTGCCAGCGCCGCAGGAGAGCGCCAGTGTCGAGCCGGAGGTGCCGAGGGCAGCCACGCCGGCAAAGGCGGCTGCAGAGGTCGCTGACACTGTTGCAGCTTCGCAAGAGAGCGCCGAGGCCCAACCTCCAGAGGCTGGCAGCCCCGTTCCAGGGCCGCAGGTGGGCGCCATTGGCGAGCCGGAGGTGCCGACGGCAGTGAAGCCGGCACAAGCGGCTGCTGAGGTCGCGGACACCGTTCAAGCCTCGCAGGAGAACGCCGAGACCCGACCAGAGGCTTTTGCCGCCCCGGCGCCGCGGGAGAGCATCGGGGCCGAGGCAGAGGTGCCGAAAGCAGCGGAGCCAGCGCGGGCAGCCGCAGACGCTGCACGTGACGTTGGAGTCTCACAGGAGATCCTCAGCGCCCGGCCAGGGACAGCAGTGTCGGAGGCCGCTATCTCCGTGGTCAGCTCTGCTGACACGGGCGCCCATGCAGCCAGACTGTTTGCTGCCACGGCCGTGGACCGCGCTGGAGCCTCCGCTGCAACCAGCGAGGTGTTCGTGAGCGGTGTCTCGACCGCGTCCGAGGCTGCTGGAGAGATGGCAGGGCAAGTGTTAAGCACCTTGCTGAGGTCCGCTGACCAGGAAGCTGCCGCCACCGTGCTCAGCGCCACCCCAGCCCCGCAGCAGAGCGCCGATGCACAGCCAGAGGTGCCCAAGGCATCGGAGCCAGCACAGGCGGCTGCCGAGGTCGCCAGCGCCGTTCCAGTCTCGCAGGAGATCGGCGAGGCGAGGCCCGAGGTGGCCAGCCCCGTGCCAGCGCCGCAGGAGAGCGCCAGTGTCGAGCCGGAGGTGCCGAGGGCAGCCACGCCGGCAAAGGCGGCTGCAGAGGTCGCTGACACTGTTGCAGCTTCGCAAGAGAGCGCCGAGGCCCAACCTCCAGAGGCTGCCAGCCCCGTTCCAGGGCCGCAGGTGGGCGCCATTGGCGAGCCGGAGGTGCCGACGGCAGTGAAGCCGGCACAGGCGGCTGCTGAGGTCGCGGACACCGTTCAAGCCTCGCAGGAGAACGCCGAGACCCGACCAGAGGCTTTTGCCGCCCCGGCGCCGCGGGAGAGCATCGGGGCCGAGGCAGAGGCGCCGAAAGCAGCGGAGCCAGCGCGGGCAACCGCAGACGCTGCAGGTGACGTTCAAGTCTCACAGGAGATCCTCAGCGCCCGGCCAGGGGCAGCAGTGTCGGAGGCCGCTATCTCCGTAGTCAGCTCTGACGAAGCTGGCGCCCACGCAGCCAGAGCGTTTGCTGCCACGGCCGCGTACGCCGCTGAAGCCTGCCCAGAACCTAGCGAGGTGCTCATGAGCGGTATCTCGGGCGCGTCGGAGGTTGCTGATTCGCTGGCAGCGCGTTTGATTGTTCCCCTTCGCGGGGGTTTGGTTGCAGAAGCCCTGGGTGGTGCGCTCCAGGAGGCCCGTACCGCTGGCCAAGAAGCTGCTGCCACCGTCAGCGCCACCCCAGCCCCGCAGCAGAGCGCCGATGCACAGCCAGAGGTGCCCAAGGCATCGGAGCCAGCACAGGCGGCTGCAACCAGCGAGGTGTTCGTGAGCGGCGTCTCGAATGCGTCCGAGGCTGCTGGAGAGATGACAGGGCAAATGTTGAGCACCTTGGTGAGGTCCGCTGGCCAGGAAGCTGCCGCCACCGTGCTCAGCGCCACCCCAGCCCCGCAGCAGAGCGCCGATGCACAGCCAGAGGTGCCCAAGGCATCGGAGCCAGCACAGGCGGCTGCCGAGGTCGCCAGTGCCGTTCCAGTCTCGCAGGAGATCGCCGAGGCGAGGCCCGAGGTGGCCAGCCCCGTGCCAGCGCCGCAGGAGAGTGCCAGTGTCGAGCCGGAGGTGCCGAGGGCAGCCACGCCGGCAAAGGCGGCTGCAAAAGTCGCTGACACTGTTGCAGCTTCGCAGGGGAGCGCCGATGCCCAGCCAGAGACTGTCAGCGCCGCCTCAGCGCCGCAGGAGAGCGCCAAGGTCGAGCCAGAGGTGCCGAAGGCAGTGGAGGCGGCACAGGCGGTTGCAGACGCTGCCAGCGCTGCTCCAGCCCCACAGGATATCCCATTCGCCCAGCCAGAGGCGGCCCCGTCAGAGGCCGCCGTGTCCGCATGCAGTTCCGCGAACGGGAACGCCCAAGTAGCCAGAAGATTGACTGACTCAGCCCTGCTCGGCGTCGGGCCCTCCCAGCCATCCAGCGAGGCGGCCCTGTGCGGCGTCTCCGAGGGTTCAGCGGCTGCTGACGAGCTTGCAAACCAGCTGCTTGGTAACATGATGAGTGCCGATGACCGGGAAAGCACAGCGACTGTGTACACGCAGCCCTCGGGTGCCGGCGAAGCTCTCGAAGGATTGAACCTTCTGCCGCAGACCCGACCGAGCTCCGCACTCTCGAAGTTCACTGCGAACTCGGATCCACCGGGCAAGGTGCAGGAGATGATCTCTGACATGGTCCATGGTATGACAACGGACTTGCCGCAGCTGGAGGCGCGGAGCCTCTCCGGTGCCCCGCCCGTCACCCTGGCCTCGCCGAAGACATCGCTCCCATCGCAGGCGGCAGAACCGGCACGAGCAGCCACGGGGGCCCCCAGCGCCGATCCGGCTGTGACCGAGGCGGCACCGGCTGCCTCGGCGGCCGCAAAGGCCGCTCCGGAGGCATCGCCTCCAGCGCCGGTGCAGGTGGCGGATCCAGCAGGGGCCGCGGCAGAGCCGAGGGCGGTGCCGCCAGCGCCGCCCGTGGTGGCAGATGCCGGCGTGGCTTCCGCGCCGGCCCAGCGGGCGGAGAGCAGGACGCCCACGTCCATCGCCTTCTCCGACGGAGACTCCGACAAGGCTTTGGGGACTGTGGTGAACCGGCTGCTGGCCGACTTCCCTGTGCCCGATTCCATGGCTGCCTCCGAGATGGGCTCCAGTGCCAGGACGGTCCCCGCTCTCCAGCTGGACGTGATGGTCGACGCGGCTGCAGAGGCCGCGACAGCCCAGGGCAGCGCACTGGCAGACGAGGTGGACGTGGCGGAGGTGAAGGAGGGTGCGGCGCAGGCTGCAGCTGCTGAGGCCGCAGGTGAGGTGCAGCGCCCGTCAGCAGCTCCCGAGGAGGTGAAGAAGGCGGTGAGTGAAGAGCGGCCCAGTCAGGAGGTGCCCCAGCCGCAGCCGGTGAGTGAAGAGCGGGCCGCCAGCCAGGAGGTGCCCCAGCAGCAGCGCGAGACCAGCAAGAGTGGGCGTGCCGAGGCTGCAGCCGCCGAGGCCGCAGACGACGTGCAGCCGCAGGCGGCAGCAGACGGAGCGCGCGAGGAGGCAACGGGGGATGCGCGTGCAGCCCCCTCGGCGGCCGCGGCGGACGTGCGGGGGAGTGCCGAGAAGGAACCCGCCGCATCGGCCGCAGAGGAGAGGACGCCCGAAGCGGCAGAGCCGGCCGCCAGCCAGGAGGTGCCCCAGCAGCAGCGCGAGACCAGCAAGACAGGGCGTGCCGAGGCTGCAGCCGTCGAGGCCGCCGACGACGTGCAGCCGCAGGCGGCAGCGGGCGGAGCGCGCGTCGAAGCCGCCGGAGCCTCCAAGGAGGCTGCAGCAGACCCGCGCTTGGATGCAGAGGGTGTGGGCGAGACTGCAGAGAGCGACAGCGTGATCCAGAAGCAGGAGCGGGCGGCGCGCATCAGGGGTGGGGCGAAGGGGGTGGTTCCTTAGAAGCCCTCCCGCCTCGCAAGAAGCCCACCAGACGACCCCAGCTCTTTCCGTCGGGGGGCAATACATGACATAAGCATGCATATGTGGAGGTCCGCGCAGATCTCTCGGATCGGCGCTGGACCCCGGGAGGCGCCTCCGGCGCCGCTCCTGGCGCGCTCCGCACGCCAGGGAGGTGGGTCCAGCGCCAATCCAAGAAATCCGCGCGGACTTCCGACAGTTGATTGCTTATACGACTTTTTGCGTTCCTCGATTCCATGAGCCCCCCCGCCTCCTCAGAGGACAGCCCCTTTCCACCCCGCCCCCCCGGACCCACTCCGCTAAGCATCGGCCCCTGGACCCCTCCGAGGATCCATCCTGGGCCCGTGTCCCGAGCCGCGTCCAGTCGTGGCGGCGAGAGTCTCCAGGAGCGCCCCGAAACCACCACGACGACGCCGTCGCCACCGTCGCCGCCGTCGTCGGCGTCGGCGTCGGCGTCGTCGTCGTCGGCGGCGGCGGCGGTGGCGGCGGCAGCAGAAGCGTGTGCGCCGCCACAGGAGGCCATTGCCGCCGAGGAGGCGCGGCTGCGGTCTATCGTGGAGACGGAGGTGCGCGCGCAGATCGCCGCGGTGGAGGAACGCCGCCTGCGTGCCGCCGCCGACGAGGCGCAGCGCCAGGCGGCGGCGGAGGCTGCGCGCGCCAAGGCGCTCGAAGATGCACGTGCGGTGTACGCTCAGGACTCGAACACCAGGGAAAGGCATACGGTGGGCTTGTGTCCCGTCGATGCGGCGACGGCCCCGCCGCGTGCGTTCAGGGTTGAGCGCCGACAGCGGCCCAACATCGGCCACTCTGGAACGGTCGATGATGGAGAAGCCGCCGATCGTCCAAGGCCGAAGGTTGCGCACGCGGTGTCGGGAGCCAATGCCGGGGTCGCCACGCCACGCACCTGCCGCAGGCACGGCCCAAGCCCACGGGCCCGAGGAGAAGATGCCCATATGCCGCCGCCCCTTCCTCGCCGGCTGCGGCCGGCTGCGCCTCGGGCTTCTGGTCGGAGCCCGGCCCGGGAGGGGTCCGCAGCGGCGTCGGCACCCCGCGTGCAGGGGGGGGAGGGCAAAGCCCCCACGGCTCTCCAGGGCAGCTCGAGCCAGGCCTCAGCCCGAGTGGGGCCCCCCTACCTCCGCCTGTGGTCTCGAGCTCTGGAGCGTTGCCTCGGAGGTGCGCGCCGATATCTCGGGTCGGCGCTGGCTCCCACACTGCACCCCTGGGCGGCGCCCCCAGCGCGCTGCGCGCGCTGGGGAAGGTGTGTGGGGAGGGTGTCGTCGCGGATCTGCGAAAATCGGTGCTTTGCGCAGGCTTTTGTTCTCTGCAGGACGTGGCGGATGCGCAGGAGAGTGCCGAGAAGGAGTCGGCGAGGCTGGTCGACGAGGAGAAGAAGCTCGAGGAGGAAGAGCGGGCCATTCAGCAGGTGCTCCAGGATGACGTGGTGGTCGACGCGGCTGCAGAGGTCGCGACAGCCCAGGGCAGCGCACTGGCAGACGAGGTGGACGTGGCGGAGGTGAAGGAGGGTGCGGCGCAGGCTGCAGCTGCTGAGGCCGCAGGTGAGGTGCAGCGCCCGTCAGCAGCTCCCGATGAGGTGAAGGAGGCGGTGAGTGAAGAGCGGCCCAGTCAGGAGGTGCCCCAGCCGCAGCCCGTGAGTGAAGAGCGGGCCAGTCAGGAGGTGGAACAGCAGCAGCGCGAGACCAGCAAGACTGGGCGTGCCGAGGCTGCAGCCGCCGAGGCCGCCGACGACGTGCAGCCGCAGGCGCGCGGGGAGGCAACGGGGGATGCGCGCGCAGCCCCCTCGGCGGCCGCGGCGGACGTGCAGGGGAGTGCCGAGAAGGAGCCCGCCGCATCGGCCGCAGAGGAGAGGACGCCCGAAGCGGCAGAGCCGGCCGCCAGCCAGGAGGCGACCGGGCAGCGCGAGCCCAGCGAGGGCGGGCTTGCCGGCCCCCCCGCGCCCGAGGCCGCGGACGACGTGCAGCCGCAGGCGGCAGCGGACGCGCAGGCCGGTGCCGAGGAGAAGCGGGCCAGCAAGGGGAGCCGCGCCGAGGTGCCGGCGGCCAGGGCCTCGGCCGAGGCGCAGCGCCAGGAGCACGCGCCCGCGGAGCCAGCGCTGGCCAGCCAGGAGCTGCTGGGGCAGCGGCGCGAGCCCAGCGAGGACGCGCGCGCCGAGGCCACAGGCGCCCCGAGGGAGGCGACGGGGCGCACGCGCGCGGAGGAGCAGGAGCAGGAGCGCCTCGAGGCCGCCCAGCGGCGGGCGGCGGCGCAGAAGCGGCGCGAGGAGGAGGCGCTCCGACAGGCCGCGGCCGAGGAGGAGCAGAAGGCGCAGAAGAAGCGCTCGGAGGAGGCGCGCCGCCAGGCCAGGCAGGAGGCGGAGCAGAAGGCGCAGGAGTCCGCGCGGAGGCGCGCGGCCCTGCAGGAGGAGCGGCGCCGGCTGGAGGCCGAGAGGGAGGCGCAGCGCAAGGCCGCCAGTGAGGAGGACGAGCGCCTGATGCGCGAGGTCAGCGAGGCCCGGGCGCGCGCGGCCAGCGCCAGGGAGCAGGCCGAGCAGCTGGACCGGCAGTCGCGCGCCCAGGGGGAGCGTGCCGAGGAGCTGCGGGCCCGCTCCCGCAGTGCGCGCTCGTCGAGCCAGGACTCCGACGTCCTGGAGAAGGTCATGCGCTCGCTGGTGGCGACCCTGGCCACCCGCTTCCGCGAGCTGTCCGACCCCAGCCTGCTCTTCAAGGCCACCAGCGCCAGGCCGCAGGCCTCCCTGCCGATGGCCCCGGAGCAGGCGGCGCCGAGGGCGAGCTCTGCGCGCCCAGAGGGCACTCAGGTGGACGAGCAGACGCAGCACGCTCGCAGGCAGCTCCGGCACCAGATGTCGACCAAGGCGCCCCAGGAGATGGAGGAGCTCGAAGCAGAACAAGCTGCATAAACGCAGACTTTCGGAGCTCCGTGCGGATTTCTTGGATTCGCGTTGGACCCGGGCGGCGCCCCTGAGGCGCGCCCCGCGCGCCAGGGAGGGGTGGCCAGCGCCGATCTGGGCTATCTGCGAGGAGCTCCGAAAACTTCTCAATGGTTTTATGCGGCCTTTCCTCAGCAGGGGGAAAAATCACAGACACAATCAATCGTCGACTCCCCAGACAATGTGGGAAAATATGGGAACTGGGGGGGAAGACGACAACCCAGAAAATATTACAAACAGTATGGGGGATCTGGGCATTTGTGTGTATTTATTATGATTAGTGTTATTATTATTATTATTGTTACTACTATTACTATTAGTATTATTATTATCATTATTATTACTACTACTAGTATTACTTTTCTTCTTCTTCTTCTTCTTCTTCTTCTTATCATTATTATTATTAATAATAATATTATTATTATTAGTATCATTATTATTATTAGTATTATTATTAACAATTAACATTGATATCATTATTATTGCCATTATTATTATTATATATTATTATTATTATTATTCTTCTTCTTCTTATTTTTGTTTATGTGCGTGTCCCTGGGCCCTTCTATTCCCTTCCTCCACGAGGACCCACTGGCACAGACGCTGCCAGAGCTCCGGCGGCGGGAGAGCTCTGGCGACGCGCCGGCGGCGCGGCCGCAGCCCTCCTCGGCACCGCAGCTCGGGAGGGACGCGCCGGTGGTGCCGCAGCTGTGGGAGCCGCACGCGCGCAGCGACGCGGAGGGCCTGCAGTGGCGCCCAGCGTCCAGCGCGTCGAGCGCAGCGCCCAGCGAGAGCTGCCCCCCGAGCGGGTATCCCTCCGTGCGGGAGCGGGCGCCCGCGCAGGCTCTTCGGGGCAGGAGAGGCAAACAGAGGCTGCTGCTTGTCCTGAGGAGCCCTCTTCGCCTCGGCCGGATCCTCCTCGAAGTTCTGGTCAGGCTGCGCCCGGGGGAGGGCCAGGGAGTAGCTGTACGGCGGGGGCGTCCGTTGAGGAATGTGCCCCGGAGGCTTCAGACCCTGGATGAGTCCTTATCTGATGAGGGCGGGACATCCGTGGCCAAGCCTCAGTGGGTGCTCCGCCGGCTTCCAGTCCTTGGATTCCTGATCCAACGGTTCCTTATCCAATGCCCTCACCGTATGGATGCCTTCTTCCCTGACCCCTGACGTCATGATTTGTTCTTTCTCTCGACGCCGACCCTCTGAGCCTGAGGCCGCGGCCCATTCCGGCCGGTTTCTCACCCCGAGCAGCTTCCGTCACCGCTCCGAGGCCCGGCGAGGGCCCCCAGGGGCCCAAAGATAGCGAGACGCCTCCCGCTATGACTTCCCCCACGGCTCGAGCCCGTGCCTGGGTTCCCCCCTCCCTCAAGCAGTGGCGAAGCGTCCTGGCTCGCCTATAGCCCTACCAAACAATGTTCTAAGAACCGTTTGTGGGTCCCACGAAATGTTCTTAGAACAGTTCTGGCTGGGACCGTCTTGGTTTAACACATCGGGTTAATGTTCTAAGAACATTGTTGTTGTTCTTAGAACATAGCTGGCTTCTAAGAACATTTCGTGGTAGGACTATAGGAATGCCAGGACGGTCGGTCCCTGCTCAACTCCCGCCGCCCCACGCGCAGGCGCCCGTGCCGATGCAGGCGGCGCCCGTGCAGATGTCGGCCGCGCCCGTGCAGGTGGCCGCTTTCTTCTTCCTCGTTTTGCCGATCGGCGCGGGCCCTGGCACCCCCCTCCCCCTCCTCCCCCTCCCCCTCCTCCTCCTCCTCCTCCTCCTCCTCCTCCTCCTCCTCCTCCTCCTCCTCCTCCTCCTCCTCCTCCCCCTCCTCCTCCTCCTGCTCCCGAGGAGAGGATCTTGGCCTCTTTTTTGGCATGCCTGTTTCGAGCAGGTGGGGCCACCAACCCGTCTTGGACGCACTGCTGCAAACAGTCGCACATTAAGCAGAGGTCCCGGGTCCGGAGCCAGACCCCCCCTCGGCCCAATGTCGAAACGCCGAACCCTGAGATCCGACGCTGCGAAAAACAAATGCAACATCGCAAACAAAATCACGCCCGGAGCCCTGGACCCCCTCTTTCTGCGTCCTTGTTCGAGCCGGGTCCATCTGTGCGGGCCCCGGGGCCCGACATGGAGCGACGGCGCCCGGTGCAGACGAAAGTCGCAGCGCCGGGATCCTCCGGGAGCGCCAAACATCCCGCCAGATGTCGGCCGCGCCCGTGCAGATGTCGGCGGCGCCCGTGCAGCCGCCCGCGGCGCAGGCCAGCGCGCTGCCCACCTACGACCCCGCGTCTGGCCGCAGCCGCCCCGGGGCCTGGCGCAGGCCGCCGGCCGGGCCGCCGGAGGCGGCGCCGGCGGCCGCCGCCGAGGGCGACCACCTGGCGGGCCGGGGGCGCACAAAAGAGCCCGTCGCGCGCCGAGCCGGGAAGGGGGCGGTGGAGGGTTTCTCCGAAGGGCTCAGGCGACCCGTCCTCCTCCTCCTCCTCCTCCTCCTCCTCCTCCTCCTCCTCCTCCTCCTCCTCCTCCTGCTCCCTCCCCTCCTCTCTCCTCCTCCTCCTCTCTCCTCCTCTCCTCCTCCTCCTCCTCCTCCTTCTCCTCCTCCTCCTCCTCCTCCTCCTCCTCTTCCCGCTCCTTCCCCTCCTCGCCCTCCTCGCCCTCCCCTCCTCGGGTCGCCTACGGCCCCGGGAGAAACCGTCCAGGGGGCAGGGGTTATGATGTTCCAACCTACTCTAGACTTGGCCACCAGAAAGAATTTCGAGCACCACGAGAGTACCGAAACTTCAGGGTTTCCACGTGCCGGGCCCTGGGAGGCGACACTCATCCGACACTTTCTCTATACTTTTCTGGGTGCTCGAAATATTTTTGGGCTTTGATCCTCAAGTGCGGTGGGAGCAACATAAGGCAGGGGAGGCCCCAGCGTGGTCGTTTTTCTCCGAACCGGGCGCTCTTCCGCGAGGTCTCGGGCCCCGGGGCCCTCACAGCTCGATATGGCTGGTAGAGGGACGCAGAAAGCGGGGATCCGGGGCTCCAGTCGCGATGTTTTGAGATGTTGCCATGTTTCCCCAACGTCGGATCTCAGGGAAGCGCCCCTGCTTCTCAGAGCGGCCTGCCCCCCTCCGCCTATATACCCCGGAGCGGCGTTGGGTTTTTCGGAGGTTTTTGTTTCCCGTCGGTTTCCGTAGGTTTTCATGCCTTGGGTTCTGCAGCTCCCATCGTACTTCAGGACAAAATCCCTGACCAAACAAATGCAGCAACCAGACCAGTATCGAACAAGTGTCGAACGAGTTGTGGAAACCCTAAAGTTTCGGTACTCTAGTGGTGCTCGAAATTCTGGTGATCAAGGCTAAAGTCGGTTGGGACATCTGTAGCCTCGGGGCGCGTTCCAGCAGCTGCGCCTCGCCGGCAGCGCTCCGGGGCTGCCTGGATCGTCCCGAACGTCCGACGGCAGGGACCAAGGCAGGGAGGAGGAGGAGGAGGAGGAGGAGGAGGAGGAGGAGGAGGAGGAGGAGGAGGAGGAGGAGGAGGGAGGAGGAGGAGGAGGAGGAGGAGGAGGAGAGGAGGCGGAGGCGGAGGCGGAGGCGGAGGCGGGCGGAGGCGGAGGCGGAGGCGGAGGCGGAGGCGAGGCGGCGGCGGCGGAGGCGGAGGCGGAGGCGAGGAGGAGGGAGGAGGAGGAGGAGGAGGAGGAGGAGGAGGAGGGGAGGAGGAGGAGGAGGAGGGAGGAGGAGGGGGGAGGAGGAGGAGGAGGAGGAGAGGAGGAAGGAGGAGGAGGAGGAGGAGGAGGAGGAGGAGGAGGAGGAAGGAGGGAGGAGGGAGGAGGAGGAGGAGGAGGAGGAGGAGGAGGAGGAGGAGGAGGAGGAGGAGGAGGAGGAGGAGGAGGAGAGGAGGGAGGCGGAGGAGGAGGGAGGAGGAGGAGGAGGAGGGAGGAGGAGGAGGAGGAGGAGGGGGAAGAGGAGGAGGAGGAGGAGGAGGAGGAGGAGGAGGAGGAGGAGGAGGAGGAGGAGGAGAAGGAGGGATGAGGAGGAGGAGGAGGAGGAGGAGGAGGAGGAGGAGGAGGAGGAGGAGGAGGAGAGCTATGACCCGAAAGCCACTCAATTGGGCGCCGCGAGTGTCTGGGGGTCCCGCAGCGGTGTGGTGGCCACAACGCGTTGTGAGCTGGCAGGTCGGCGACGAGCCCGGGGCGTGGAAGCGAGAGGGGGGCGGGCCTTCTCGGAGGGCGGCGGGACTTCTCCCCAGAGGTCCAACGTATTGAAAAAAGCAAGGCGGAGTTTTTTGCAAATTTCGGCCACTGGGGGCCCTCGCCGGGCCTCGGGATCGTCAAGAAACGACTCAGGATGAAAAACCAGTCCTGGGGAATGGGTCGAGATTTCCGGGAACCGCGCATTGAGAAAATCACGACGTCGGATCTCTTGGGTCAGAAGCCTTTCGGCCTCCTCAGGAGTTGTCTAAAAGCTTTCTCCGAAAGGCAGAGGCGGCTTCTCAGAAGGCCGGAGGGCTTCTGAGAAGCCCCGCCGCCCTCCGAGAAGGGCTGCCCCTTCCCACTTCCCTCCCGGGCTCGCCACCGAGTCGTGGCTCGGTGTCGCCGCACGGTTTGGGAATCGGGTGGTTCTCCGGGGACGTCTCAGGCGGTTAGGGTTAAGTCGGGCGTGTCCCTCTAAAGGAGGAATACTCCCAAATAGCAGAAAATAATAGGATGAGGATTTGTTTTTGCAATTTTGTAGCATTCTTTTTTTCTTCCAGAATCCCCCTGTAAGCGGACACGCCCGACCTCAGATTAGGGCCTCCGAGGTCCCAGCACAACGTGCGGACGGACCGCGCGGTGAGGTCGTTGGAGATTCCGAGGTCACCACGCGGTCCGTCACCACAATGCTTCTGTGGCCCGGAAGGTTGATCCTAGCATCATCGCGCAGCTATGCTCGCTGCTCAATGCGCCAGCGACGCCGCCCGACGAGTCCGCCAGATACAGGGAGCGCTACGAGCGCTTCGGCGACGTCCTCAGGGTGCTCCGTTCTGTCGATCAGGCTTCTGCATCCTCCTCAGTCGTGGATCATGGATCGCCGATCTACCCATCGATGAGCATGGGTGCGGCCGTGTTTTTTTTCCCGAGACGATCGAGTCAATGGCCAAGGAATCCTGCTCCTGAGGGCTAACCCATGGTGCATTCCTGGTCCTGCCGCGGCGAAGCTCACAGCCCGCGATCTTCGCATGGTAAGGCTTCCATAGCGGTTGCGAGGCCCGAGAAGATTGGAAATGCTCTTGTGGCATGAACGACTGCAGGGAGTCAAACACATCTGGAGTCGTGCCACGCATTATCGGATTCTGGTCTGTGTCCCCAGTGAAGCTGGCCCAGAATCATCTTTTGTTACCACCGCCTTTCGCAGCAGCCCCCGACCATGTGAGAACATGTTGCCCACGAGCTTCCCAAGATGGCCCCAGGGTGCATACAAGAGGGCCTAGATCTGCCGGGTTGGCCCCAAGAGGCTCGAGGGTTGCCATGAGGGCCACATTGTTTGTGTAAAACACGGGCAGCGCGCCTGAAGAGGTCCCAAGACAGGGACCAGCAATGTTGATAAACTGCTTGCATTCCAGTGCTTTTCGTTCGTGAGTGGTCCCCTGTCGAGTTCGCTTTTGAGAGGCCTTCTGGGATGACCGAACAGGATCCCACGAGGCATGTAGGACGGCGGCCAACGATTTTCAGGAGGATATCGCTTCGGATGTCCTAAGATGGGACCAAGACGTTTCCAGAAGGCCAGCGAGGCCGCAAGAGGGTCTCATGAGGGCCCCAAGGGCTTCCAAGACAAAGTGTCCCAGATACCCACAGTTCGCGGGTTTCTTCCAGGTGACTGGTATACTATGTGTACAGTAACAAATCGACGTACACATATATATATACATATATATATATATATATATTACACACCTCTCTCCCTTTATATATAGATGTATACGTATACATACGCATACATGCGTACACATCAAAGCGTACATACAAGCATACACACATACTTACACACATACGCACATACGTAGACACATACCATATACACCTGCACACATACACACATACGCACATGCATACATACATACATACACACCACACACACCTGCATAATTACATACGTACAAACACACATACACACATGCATACATGCACTTACATGTGCACACACACATCCATACATGCATACATCCACATCCGTACATACACACATACATACACACATCCATACATGCATACATACATACACTCATCCACCAATCCGTACATACATACATACATACATACATACATACATACGTACATATGCACATACATGCATACATACATACATGCATGCATTCATTCATGCATCCATTCATACATACATACACGCAGACACACGCACATACATGCATACAACTGCGCATGCATACATACACATAGACACACATGTATACACACATGCATACACTCATACTTGCATGCATGCATACATACATACCCGCACACCGAAACACATACATACACACATATATATATATATATATACACACAAGTGGCACGTGTGTGCCCAGGCTCATACAGCAAGCTGAAGGGGCGTTTGAAGCAGGAGTGACATGCAACAGCGAAGTCGCACTCGAGCGCAAGTGGGGTTGCCACACCTTGCGATGTGTGTACCAGGGCCCCCCAGGAAGCCTCAGAAGGCCCGACTTGGATACCAGAAGAGGCTCCAGGAGGCCCCAGGATTGTGAGTGTTGTGTGTGTGTGTGTGTGTGTGTGATGTGTGCTTTGTGTGGTGCATGCTTTTTGTGTGTTGTCGGTGTTGTGTGTGTGTGTGTGTGTGTATGTTATGTTTGTCTAGCGTGTGATGTGTTGGGCGTGATTTGTGTCTCTGTGTGCGCATGTAGTTCTGAGGCCCCAGGAGGCCCCAGGAGGCCCCAGGCGGCCTCAGCAGGCCCAGGAGAACTCCAGGAGGCTCCGAGGCGGGGTCTGGGGTACCAGAAGGTCCAGAAAGCCCCAGGAGGCCCCAGGAGGTTCCAGGAGGCCCCCAGGAGGCTCCGAGGAGGGGTCTGGGGCTCGATTTTGGGAGGATGTCTCAGGCGAAACCGCCATTCTCTGAGAATCGGGGTCAAAATTATTGAAATTACCATGTGTTTTTGAAGGTTTTATGTTAACATGTTGAAATTCCCATGTGTTTTTGGACCCTGACGTCACGATCTGCGTGAGGGGTGCCACCGACTTTCAGAATTTCGAGGATGTCCCGAGCGAAACGGCCAGAACAATCGCGGACGACGTGCGCATTAATCGCCTCTGAGCTCTGCTCCCTCGGAGAGGTGCGTATGAGAATATACATATATATATATATATATGTAAGCACATATATATATATATATATATATATATATATATATATGTAAGCATACACTCTAGACACACGAATGCATTTACAACGGGCACGGCGCGCGGTCGCCTCATCTGTCTTCACTGTGTTGCCCGCGCGCCCCCTCTGGATGTTTGGCCATGCTCGCTCGCTCGTTCCAGGTCGGATCGGGTCGGCTGGTTCGGGATCGAGTCAGATGAGAACGGCCCACAGGGAACGGCACCTATAAGCGCTCCGGCGGCAGGAGAGGGGCTTCGCTCCTTATGTCGCGCTCCTTCTGGCAGCAGCCTCACCCAATGCTTAATAACCCCCCCTCCCTTCGGCAAAAGGATAAACCTTCCCGCGCCGGGAAGCGTTATCCCGGCACCCGCGGTACGCGTACAAATGCGCGTGCTGACGCAAGGCGGTCGCGGTGCTAAAGGTATCGTTCAGCTGAAATCCCCCCCTGGAATGGATCGATGCCGGTGCGGTGCTGCTGAGCACCTTTGGGGGGGCTCTTTATCACTGGGTGAGGTTGGCTCGACTGTATTGTCGGAGCTCGGCCCCGCTGCCGCTGCTTGCCGCCCAGGCCCACTCGACGTGGAAGGCCCCCGCGTCTGAATGCCCTCCTCCTCGCGTCCTCCGCGGCCGCCCTGCCCCCCCCCCTTTTTCCTCCTCTCTGCACGCCGGCCAACTCGCACATCGGTCGCCCCGGATCGCCGCCCGCTGGGGCAGCGGAGGAGGAGGAGGAGGAGGAGGAGGAGGAGGAGGAGGAGGAGGAGGAGGAGGAGGAGGAGGAGGGAGGAGGAGGAGGAGGAGGAGGAGGAGGAGGAGGAGGAGAGGAGGGGGAGAAAGGAGGAGAGGAGGAGGAGGAGGAGGAGGAGGAGGAGGAGGGGAGGAGAGGAGGCGGAGGAGGAGGAGGAGGCGCAGGAGGAGGAGGAGGAGGAGGAGGCGGTGGAGGAGGAGGAGGAGGAGCGAAGTGCGAGGAGGGAGGAGGGGGAGGAGGAGGAGGAGGAGGAGGGCCGCTGACGTCGACGTGTGTGGTCGGAGCTCTGGGGCGTGCCTCCGAGGCTACGAGACCCCGATCTCCTCCCGCACGGGCGTGTTGTCGGCGCAGCAGGGCCCCCCAGCCGCGCCCAGCGGGGCAGAGTCCTCCGTGATCGAGCCGGCGCGGGGCCCGCCGGCAGCGTACAGCGCGGCGCCGTCCTCGTACACGACGGAGCTCCGGGGGCGGCGCTCCCAGCAGACCCCGTCGCGTGGGAGAACAATCACGACGGTCGTTTTTTTGTGTTTTGTTATTGTTTTTGTTGTTTGTTGTTGTTGTTGTTGCTGTTGCTGTTGTTGTTGTTGTTGTTGTTGCTGTTGTTGCTGTTGTTGTTGCTGTTGGTGTTGTTGCTGCTATTGTTGTTGTTGTTGTTGTTGTCATTGTTGTTGTTGTTGTTGTTGCTGTTGTTGTTGTTGCTGTTGCTGTTGCTGTTGCTGTTGCTGTTGTTGTTGTTGGTGTTGTTGTTGTGGTTTTTGTTTGTTGTTGTTGTTGTTGTTGCTGTTTATGCTGCTGTTGCTGTTGTTGTTGTTGTTGTTGTTATTGTTGTTGTTGTGGTTGTTGTTGTTGTTGTTGTTGTTGTTGTTGTTGTTGTTGTTGTTGTTGTTGTTGTCGTTGCTGTGGTTGTTGTTGTTGTTGCTGCTGCTGCTGCTGTTGTTGCTGCTATTTTCGGCCCCTCGGGGCCCTCGCCGGGCCTGGGACCGTCATACAACGGCTCGGGATGAAGCACCAGTTCCGGGGAAGGGGTCGAGACCCCTGGTGGTCGACGTCATGATAATGCCATGGGGTCGATGGTCTGGGTTAGGGGGGGGGTTAGGCTCAAGGGGGGACGCTGTCGGGATCGAGGTTCGAGGTTTTCTTGAGTTTTTCGGATCTCGGAGGCCTTTCAGCCTCGGGATGCCTTCAGCAGTTGCGCCTCGCCGTCGGGCGTCCAGATCGCTCGGGCCGCCAGAGGCCCGCGTTGTGACCCGAGAATCACCAGGGTATAGGCTCAGGGGAGGGGGGGGGGGGTCGACCAAAAAGCAAACGACCCCACCCCACCCAATGCCCTCCATGTTGTTGCGCTGCGGCTCATCGGGGGCTGCAGCGTATACCACGTAAACAACCACGCCGGATTTCCTGGTGAAGCCGTAGGTGGGGTGGTGTCGAGGGTTTCTCCGAAGGGCTTATGCGACTGGTCTCCTCCTCCTCCTCATCCTCACTTCCCCTCCTCCTCCTCCTCCTCCTCCTCCTCCTCCTCCTCCTCCTCCTCCCTCCTCCCTCCTCCTCATCATCATCATCATTCATCATCATCATCATCATCATCATCATCATCATCATCATCATCATCATCATCATCATCATCATCCCTCCTCCTCCTCCTCCTCCTCCTCCTCCTCCTCCTCCTCCTCCTCCTCCTCGGGTGGTCGCCTGCGGCGCCGGGGGAAACCGTGCAGGGCGGGGCGGCGTCGGCTGCTTTCGGGTCCCGGGGTGACGCGTCGGCCCCCACCCCAGTCGGCCACGGAGCGCCGCTCGGGGCCCGACGGCTTCCCTCCTCCTCGCCCGGGAGCGCGCGGCCCCGCTCTCGGGGCTATCGCAGGCCCACAGGTTGAGACCGGCACCAAGATCGGCGGCGTGCCTCCACCGAGGGACGAAGATCCCGATCTCGGTGATGGTGGTAATCTTTATGGCTTCCACGGTGACTCGAAATATTTCCACCAACACCGGAATACTAGGATCATTGTCCCGCTGTGGAGGCCCCCCCCTGTGCTGGTGTTGGTGCCAATTTCCAGGCCTCCAAGGCTACAATTAGGTCGGGCATGTCCCCCTGCAGGGGGATTTTGGAGGAAGATTTAATCACACCGCAGAAAATATCCAAAACATAGTTGAAACAGTTCAACAATCGTCACCATCTTATTTTTTGACTGTTTTTGAATATTCCTCCTATAGAGGGACGCGCCCGACTGAAGACTACAGTCAACCCACATGGCAAGTTTGAGCAATTTTCCAAAGCTGCCCCTGCATCCTTTCCATTCGGCCCGTCCTTGGCGACTCTCGCTGGCCGACCTCCTTCGAAGAATGCCAACATGGCCGTCCAAGGCCCTTGCGTCCTCACCGCGCATCCTTGTGGTACGGGTTGGCTGAACGGGGAGGCTGTGGAAACACATCTGCAGGCTGGGCCCGGTTGTGTTGCATGCTGTGGGCTTCGGCAGTATTTCTTCCGTCGGTCTGTGCCAGAATTGACAAGAAGTGGTATGCGACTCTGAGGCTATCAGAAGATGTTTTTTTGGGTGTGGTCGGGGCATGAACTCCCTCCGTGCTCTTTGTTTGCAGGCCCCCGCTAGCCATTATGTCCGCATTCCAGCCCCTAGTGCTCGAGTAGGGGATCGACTACAGAATTGAGTTACCCCAGAGTAAGTTGTGTCATCGAGCTCCCCCCGAAAATACGTGGAATGTTCGCAGATCTACGGGATCTTCTACGTATTTTTCGTAGATTCGACGAAAGTCGCTCCCCTGCTCGAAGTGCTCCCAGCTTCCCCGTTTACCGCCGATGTGCCGCCGGTTCCAGCTCGATGCCCACCCCCAGACCCCCGACGTCATGATTTTTTCACGACGTCGGCCCCCAGAAGTCTCGACCTCTTCCCCTGGGACCGCTTCTTCCTCCCTATGGTCGTTCTTTCACGGCCCCGAGGCCCCGCAGAAGGCCCCTGGAGGCCGAACGTAGCGACAACCTTCCCGTCGTGACTTTGTCCCGAACATTTTGGGTGGAGGGCAAAGGGTGAAATCTGAAATGCCGTCTCGATTGGTTTTCGAGGCTTGAATCTGCCAGGGGGGAATCACTAGGCGGATTGCTTCTCGAGGTGCAAGAGCCCATAAGGATTTCACCCTGAGCCCTCCACCTTGAGAAAATGCTCACTTGTCATGGCTCGGGGGGCCCTGGGCCCCGTGCCGCTGCCCCTCAGGAGCGGGGCCCCGGGCAGGCCCGCCTGGGCACGCCGTCCTCCTACGCCGGCAGCGCCAGCGCCGGCTACGGCGCGGGCTACGGCAGCAGCCGCCACTCCGAGGCGCCGGCGAGCGCGTGCCGCTGCTCCCAGAGTAGCTACGGGGGGGGGGGGGCGCTGATGAAGGACTGTGCCCAGGAGGCTTCAGACCCTGGAGTTAAGTCGGGCGTGTCCCCCTATAGGGGGATTTTCAACGAAAAATAAAAAAATACCCCCAAACATGCCCCCCAAAGTCAAATATACAAAAGATAGTCCCCACACTATTTTTGGGCTATTTTTTGATTATTTTTGGGGTATTTTTTGTTGTTCGTCGAAAATCCCTCTGCAGGGGGACAGGCCCGACTTAACCCTGGAGGGTTCCTGATCTGGTGAGGGCGGCGGTGATATCCGCGGCCAAGCCTCGCCTGGAGCTCCACCTGGCCTCCAGACCCTGGATACCTTATCTACGGGTCCCTGCTCCAGTGCCCCCCCCGTGCTCGCAGATTGCCCGGACCCGCCGCAGGGAATGTGTCACACCAAGAGGCAGGCGTGTGGCTGTTCGGACGTTTGCGAGTCAGCACCTTCCGAGCAGCGGAACGCGCTCGGCGAGAGGCGCCGCGCTCGCCGTACCCGCCGCAGAGGCAGCCCCTGGCGCCCGCGGAGCTGCCAGCCGAGCGGAGCGCCGCGCCGGCGGCGGCGCCGCTGCAGCAGCAGGTGCAGCAGGTGCAGCCGCTGAAAGTCATGGGAGCCTCGCGTCAAACCGTGGCGCAGCGTCCTGGCTCGCCTCTTAGGCCTGCCAAGCAACGTTCTGAGAACCCTGTTGTGGATTCCACGAACTGTTCTTGGAGCATTTCTGGCCGGGACTGCCTTGTTTGAACACATCGGGTTCACGTTCCAAGAGCTTGGTTTTTGGTTCTTAGAGTATTTCTGGGCTCTAAGAGCGTTTCGTGGTTGGCCTATATAGAGATGCCGGGACGCTTGGTCCCTGCTCGACTCGTGCCATCGAGGATGCACGTACTATTGGGCTTCTCCATAAGCGTGGGGGGCGGAGCCCCGCGACGGGGGTCGGCCGCGCCTCGTCGTCGCGCCGCGTCGGGGAGTCGGAGCGCCTCCGCCGCTCTCGGTGGCCGCCCACGGCGGGGGTGCGGCGTGGGGCCGCCGGCGGGGGCGGCACCTCCCCGACGTTTCTTAAGAACCTCGGGGAAAGGCAACGAAGGATGACAGAATTCAGGAGGGGAAAAAACACACAGACACAATTAATCGTCGATCCCCAAGAAAATATTGGAAAATATAGGGAATTGGGCGGGAAGACAAAAACACCGAAAATATGGGAAAATATGGGGAACCATTTTATTTGTGTGTATTTATTTGTGTGTCCTGGGGCCCCTTCAAGAATCCTAACAACTCGGAGGTCCGCGCGGATCTCTCGGATCGGCGCTGGACCCCCGCTCCGTGGCGCGCGGAGCGCGCCAGGGGCGCCGCCAGCGGGGTCCGGCGCGGATCCGAGAGATCCGCGCGGGCCTCGGAGTTTTTCTGTTTATGCCATTCTTCGCTCCCCTAACGAGAGCCCAGGCCCTGGCCGTGACAACAGTGAAGACGTGGCCTCACTTAGGTCCCCGTCTTCGCATGATGAATCAGGAGGCTGGGCGGTTCTGTCTTGGCACACCTGCAGAGCAGATCCCCTATCCCTGAGGTTCTGTTTTGCCTCCTAACTCAGGTCCCCTCCCCAAGGGTCTGGGGATTCCCGCTTCAGAGTGCCTTGGCGTGCTCCAGCGTCTGGTAGTCAATGACTTAGCGTCGGTGCCGCGTCGACGAGCGCCGATTTAGCGTCGATCGGCGTCGACTCGCGCCGATTCGCAAGCGCCAGCAGCATGGCAATGGGAGGCCCCCGTGAGCTGCCACCGGAGGTGCAGCACAGGGAGCTGCAGCAGCTGCAGCCCCGCGGCTCGGCCTCGCTGGAGCCCCCGCGCCCGAGCGTGCCGGCCCACTCGGACGCCTCCTCGGCGTGGACCGCGCCCTACTACTCCCACGGGGGCCTGGAGACGCCCCAGTCGAGCTTCGCGGGCTTCAGCGAGGGCCGCCCGCCACGAGAAAAAAGTGCTCACGTGCACGGACGGCCCCCGGCGGACTCTTCCCGTGGGCCTCCAGAGGGAGGGTGGCGGTGGACAGGGCGCCGCCGAGCGCCAGCGAGGTTCTGCGCCGCCAGCTCCTCTGAGGGCACAGGAGGAAACAGTGCGCCGGTGGGCTTATGATGTCCCAACCTGCTTTAGCCTGGATCACCAGAAGGAGTTTTGAGCTCCAAGAAAGGGTACTGGAACTGGAAGCCTTTCACGTGTCGGGTCCTGGGAGGCGGTACTCGTTCGACACTTCGCCAGCGTGCCGGGCAGACACTGTTTTGATACTTTCCTGCGGTGTGGTCCTTACGTACCATGGGAGCAACACAACTGTGGGTGTCCGTGTGCAACTTTTTTTTTTGAGGACGAACAATGACATTAACATAAATCGGGTATAGCCAGGGCCCCAGGTAAGGGGACCCGGTTAGTGGTAGGGCCTCGGACCCCATGGATTGGCCAGAATCACTAAGCCAGGTCTGCCGTAACTCGTGTTTTTTTGGGGTGACTCGGCGTCACCCCAACATACTTATACTATATGTGCGTCGCCCCCCTGGGGGCGATGCGCGCACCGAGAAATCTTATAGTATATGCGTCGTGGCGGGCGCATTCTGGCCACCCCCCTCTGGAAACGATATACTACAAGATGGGTATACTATATGTCCGGGTCGGACGCGCGCCTCCAAGGATAACATGTAGTACTAGTACGTTTTTGTGCATCCCAGTGACGGCAGTTCCCGTTATTGGCGGAGGGGCGGCCCCCAGTACACATCACTGAACCAGGTCCCACTAAACCCAGTTCTGCCAACGCCCGAATAAAAACTCGGGTCGGGCGAAAGGGGGGGATTGGGAAAGGGGGGGTTACGAAATTTGCTGCATGCAGCTGGTTTCGGCCTCGCCGAGGGGCCCATTCCTCGATACATGGCCGCCTCCGGCGCCGGGAGGCGCCGGGAAAATCAGCTACGTGAGCTGATTCTCAAACCCCCCCTTTGCTATCCCCCCCTTTCGCCCGACCCGATAAACCCAGTTCTGCCAACGCCCGAATAAAAAATCTCGGAGATCCGCGCGGACCTCCGAGTCTTTGTGTTTATGGCACTCTTCGTGCCCCTCTTTTGGTTGCGCAGGCCAGTTCCTGGTCCCGGAGCCGGTGGACCACTCCTTCCAGGCCGAGCGCGCCGCGGCGCTCGGGGTGACGCCCCTGCCGCTGGCGACGCTCGCCTCGAGCGATCGCGGTCGCTCTTCCGGGGGCGGCTCCGGCAGTGCGGAGGACTCGGGGTCGGCGCCACCCCAACATACTGATATTATATTCAAAGAAGAAGAAGCCACATAAACATAAAGTTTTGGCTCTCCGCGCGAATTTCTTGGATCCGCGCCTGGGCCCCCCGGCGGTGCCTCCGGCGCCGCCCCTGGCGCGCTCCGCGCGCCAGAGAGGGGGGTCCAGCGCGAATCCAAGAAATCCGCGCGGAGCGCCAAGAGTTTATGTTTACGTAATTTCTTCTTCTTCTTCTTCTTCTTCTATGTATGTGCGTCGCCTTCCCAGGGGCGACGCGCGCACCGAGAAGTCTTCTAGTATGTGCGTCGTGACGGGCGCTTTCTGGCCACGCCGCTCGGGAAGCGATGCGCTACAAGATGGGTGTGCTCCACGTTCGGGTTGGGTGCGCGCCTCCAAGGAGAGCGTGTAGTACTGGTGTGTCTTCGTGCCTCCCGCGGGGGTGCCGAGCGCCGGGGTCTGGCGGACGGAGAGCGGCGTACCGTCCGCCACAACCATATGTGTATACACATACGCCCTCCAAGGAATTGTTCCAGGGCCTCTGGGGAGGGTGGCGGTGTGCATGTCTCACCACTGAGAGCCAGCGATGTCATGCGCTGAAGGTACACACGAAGTTCCTCGGAGGGTGTCTGTGTGTATATATAGATATGTGTATGTATATAGACATATGTATACATGTATGTATGTATATATATATATGTATAGATGTATATGCATTGTTGGCGTAAACCGTATCCCCCGCAGTTGCAGCCAAGAGTGAGGGGGCGGGCCGGAGGATCGTCGGCAGGCTGCGAGGCTCGAGAGGAAGATCGAAGCAGTCCCGCTGCAGGCGCCGAGTCTTGAAACCTTGCACAACGAGCCCGTTGCTTCGTCAACGCAATGCGGATGGGTCGCAGTGTGGGTCGCGAGTGGGTCGCGGGGTGAGTCGCGGGGGGGGGGGGACGACGACAACAACACCACACAACACACAAGCAGAGTCTGGGCCCGCGCACCCTGCATGCCGCAAGAGCGATCGGCCCCCTCACTCCGACAATCTCTTTTTCCACCATCGGGGCCCCCGTCCCAAGGCTGCTGGAAGGCTTCTGCCCCGACTGTGGCACGTCGGGGTGCAGACTCCACAGCCACCCCGGGACAGGCGTCCCCGATGGCTGAAAAGTTCATGCTGTAGCGTTCTTCGTCCGCCAAGGGCTGGTTGGGGCGAGGGGAGAGGCCATGCAAATGCGCCACGTTGGGGCTTCTTCCCATCTTCTCCAGGTGGCCGCAGCCCCCTGGCCGCGAGCTGAATGGGTCCCGAGGAAATCGGTCCAGACGGGGGGGGGGAGGGCAAACATCTCGTCAACATCGGTCGCGGGCCCCTCCTGGGGGCCGTCCGGTATAGTTTGCCACCCCGGATCTGTTTGTGACGGTCCCGACGACCGACAACGGTTCCCGCAGATTGGAAAACGAAAAGATGTTTTCGAATTCGGATCGTTGCGCCTCGCACCCCGTTCCTGCTGGCCAGAGCCAGCGATGGGCCACCACGGCCCCCCCGCCGACTCCAACCCGTGGCCCCTTTGGAGGCCGCTTCCCCCCTTTCCCCGCCCCTGCCGACCCAACTCTCCGCGCACAGCTGGCCCCCCGGTGCAATCCCGGCATCCACCCCTGGCCAGTTCCCCGAGCCTCCAGGAACGACGTCTTCGTCGTCGTCGTCGTCGTCGTCTTCTTCGTCGTCGTCGTCGTCGTTCCCCGAGCCTCCAGGAACGCGCCCGAAGCCATCGAGACGACGGCGCGCCGTCGTCGTCGTCGTCGTCGTCGTCGTCGTCGTCGTCGTCGTCGTCGTCGTCGTCGTCGTCGTCGGCGGTGCCGTCGTCGTCGTCGGCGGTGCCGCCGCGCCGCCGGAGGACGGAGAGTTCGGGCAGGCGCTGGAGGCGCTGACGAAGGCCCTCATGGTCGGGGCTGAGCGCCTGGGGACCTCCCGCAGCGGATCCTCCGCCGCGGACTCGACCTACAGGTCGGTGGTGACTCCTCCTCCTCATCCTTCTCTTCTCTTCTCTTCTCTTCTCTTCTCTTCTCTTCTCTTCTCTTCTCTTCTCTTCTCTTCTCTTCTCTTCTCTTCTCTTCTCTTCTCCTTCTCTTCTCTTCTCCTTCTCTTCTCTTCTCTTCTCTTCTCTTCTCTTCTCTTCTCTTCTCCACCATATTCGCACACGATGAATACTACTCTCCTCTCTCCCCCGAAGACTCGGGTGAAGTGTCCTGGCCTATTCCGCGTCTTGTGGCCTACATACAGGATGCCGTTGAGTCAATACTTAACAAGTGCTTTTCCAATCCGAACGTTTTCGGTCCTTTCAGAACGGCGCTCTCGCTACAGCGCTGGCTCCATTTCCCCCTTTCCCAGTCCTTCCAAATTCTGTGCCCGCTGCAGCGCTGACTTCATTTCATCGTTTCGGTTCTTCCAAATCGTGCTCCTGCTGTAACGTTGGCTTCGGTTCCGCGCTTGCAGTCCTTCAAATCGTACTCTCACTGCAGCGCTGGTCTCATTTCCGCGATCCTTCGAAATCGTGCTCCCGCTGCAGCGCTGATCTCATTCGTGATTCCCGATTTCCATATCGTCCAGTTGCATCTCTCGTCCTGTGTCATTTCTGGTTTCCTTCTGACCTATCCTGTTGTTGACGCGGCGACGTTGGCTGTGGCCGTGCTCTTCTATGTCATGCTATGCCGTGCTACACCATGCATCGCGTACCCTGTTGGTATAACATACGCGATGCATGGTATAGAGAGTACGTATGCGTCGACTCTCTCTTCCATGTCCACATCTGGCTGTTCGAATAGAGAGGAGATCTGCGCACTGGTAAGGGGAGGGAGGGATGGAGGGGTAGGACATCAGATGTGACCCTTGCGCACCCAGCTTGTCCTCCTCCCCTCTCTTCTCCTCCTCTGCTAGACGCTTCGCGTAACCCCACCCAGGCTCAGGGATGTAGTGGAGCATTCAGTGGAACACAGTTTTTAGCCGTGTAGCGCACGGCGGGGCGCCAAGCTCCCAAAGAGCAAGCTTGAAGCTTCAGACTTGAGCTTGAGCTTGAGCTTGCTGCAGTGCATGTGTGTTGGCGCTGCAGCTTCGCTGCTAGAGCTTGAGCCTCGGACTTCGCAGTCCTGGCCGAACGTGCTCTGGGGAGGCCCAGGGAGGTACGCAGCGCGCGGTGCAGGCCACGGCCACGACGACAGAAGAACAGTTTGTTTGCAGGGTCGTACTTTGTGCACAGCAGTTTTTTTTTCTGCAGTGTGTTGTCGGTTTGCGCAGTCGCGTTTCGCTGCTGCAGCCAGCGCCAAGGATCTCGCTTGCTAGCCGCACGTGTCCTGGGAAGGTCCAGGGAGGCGCGACGCGCGCAGCGTCAACCACGGCGGCGACCACGGATGGCCAGTTGTTGTTTGTACCGTGTTTTTTCAGCACTGCATGTTGTGCGCTGCATCGAAGGAGGAAACACCCATCCAGACCGGACAGTTGGCGTTTACTACACGGCACTGGGCGTTTACTAAACAGCCCTGTCCTGTGGATTGTTTTGCCATCTGCTGTGGCTTCGCTGCTAGAGCTTGAGCTGAGGATTTCGCCCGCGGGTCGACCGTGGTCCGGGGAGGTTTGGTTTCGCATCGCAGTTCGGTTCGCACTGTAGCTATTCTCTTCGCTTCAGTTTCTTGTGCGCTGTAGTTTCGAGGCTGGAGCTCGGATTTCGCGTGAGTGCCGGACGTGAATGGGGGATGTGTGTAAGGTGCGAAGGCGTGCAGTGCCAGCCAGCCTCAACAGGCGACCACGAGCTCTCCAAGAGGCCCCGCTTCGTGTCCGCGGGCCAGATGCCGCGGCATCTCGCTCGCGGGCATGCCGTGGGCCCGCAAAGTGGCTTCGTCTTCCTCCGGAAGACCCTCACGACGCCCACGGCAAGCCAAGAGGCGCCCAAGAGCTCTCCAAGAGGCCCCGCAAAAAGCGTCCCCGAGCGAGGTGCCACCTCGCTCGAGTTTTTTGTTGGTGCGCTCCTGGAGCCTCCCAGAGACGCTCAAGGGGCCCTAAGAAAGCTGCCAGGAGAACTCGAGATACCACCAAAAGGCCAGAAGAGGCCCCGACGAGCTCCCCAAGAAGCCCCCCCCCACATATAGTCTTCGAACGAGATGCCGCGGCAATCTCGCTCACGACACTTCCTGAGACCGCCATAGGAATTCCCAGCGCCTCCCAAAGGTTCCCCAAACGCCCCGAACAGCTGTCGAAGGGTGTCCACGCGAGGGCCCTAAGGGCTCTCACATGAGCCCCCCACGGAGCGCCGTCGCTGCCGCCGTCGCGTGGTTGTCCACTTGGTCTGGTTTGTCTGGTCGGCAGGGTTCTTTCGGACCCGAGTCCATGTAGTTGGTCCCATCGACTTGGTCGCATCTATTCCTTCTCCTGTCTGCTTGGTTTGATCGGTTTGGTTTCTTCGTCTCGCTGGGCCGGCATCGGTTGGTTGGCTTATCTGCCTTGCTTGGTATTGCCAGGTGTGCTTCGACTGGCCTGGTCTGATATGGTTGGTCTGCCAATGCGTTCCTCGCTTTTGTCAGTACTGGTCTGACTGCTCTGGTCTGGCCTTGTTGCAGTTCGCATGTCTAGTCCCGCTGATCTGATTGACATGGTTAGTCTGAGATGGCTTCTCCGATATCCGGTAGCTCAGGACGGAACACCCTTCACAGGGTAAGCCCAGGAACCTCTTGGATATGTATCCATGGTGATTATTGTGAAGGCTTTGCGGCCAGTGCAGCCGGCCCTGATGGCGGAGCCCAAGGCGTCTGGGAGGCAAGGAACCGAAGGGGAACACTTCCCCCAGGGGGGTGCCCCCGCACGGTGGGGGGGGTCACAACCCCTGGGCCCCCCCCCCAACCCCCCTGGAGCCCCCCCATACCCACCTCGCGAACCCCCCCCCCTGGCGGGGAAGGGGGACCAAGCGGAAGGGGCTCTCCTTCGGCTCAATTACGACGTGACTCGAATTCTCTTTGGCTGGGACGTTTGACCAGGAGGGCCCAGGGACAGGGACAGAGGGGAGCGGTAACGTCGACAGCGACGACGACGACGTCGACGACGACAACGACTCAAACAAAAATAGCCTCGCACACACGCCGATAGGGTCGGCGCTAATTCAATCTTACATGACCTTTTGCAGAGGCTAAACGGCTGGAGGGTGGTTTGGTTGGTTGGTCTTCTTGGTCTTGCGCTGTTGGGCCACTTGGTCTGGTTGGTCTGGTCGGCAGGGTTTTCTCGGAGCTGGTCCAGATTTGGTTGTATCATTGGTTTGTTTGCGCAGGCTCCGTCTCTTGTCTGATGGATTTAGTTAGTTTGTGGAGCTCGGTTTGCTGGACTGGCTTCTGTTTGTTGGTCTGGTTTGCTTGGTCTGGTCTGGTCTGCTCCGACTGGCCGAGCAGTTCATCCTGGTTGGCCTGGCCTGCCTGGGTTGTTGTTTGGCTCTCGCTGGTGGCCGATTGGTTACTGTACCTGTTCTGCGCAGTCCGGCGATCTGGCTGGTCCAGCTAGTTTTGTTGGTTTTCCTGGGTTTGCCTGCTGCGTGGGATTTGGACGAAGGCGAGGAGCAGCAGCAGGGGCAGCAGCAGAAGCAACATCAGCGCGCGGAGGGTTTGCTTTGGCAGCCATATCAGTTCTTACATCCCAGAGCAAATTTCGGCGCTGGGGCCCAAGAACTGTTCGCTTCTAGCGGCTTGGAGGGGGAATCGGAGGAGGACAAGTCGGAGAATGATGGTTAGTTTGGGGGTGGGGAGGAGGGAGGAGGGGAAAAGAGGAAAGTGCGTTTTTTGATGTTGCTGCTGATGATGATGGTGATGATGATGATGCTGCTGCTGATGATGATGATGATGATGCTGATGCTGATGCTGATGCTGATGCTGATGATGCTGATGATGCTGATGATGATGCTGATGATGATGATGATGATGATGATGATGACGATGATGATGATGATGACGAGGAGGAGGATGAGGAGGAGAAGTCTCTCTCTCTCTCTCTCTTTCTCGCTCTCTTCCCATTCAAGGCTAGCTCATCAAGAGTTTCTGAAACGGGCCTTGGGTTGTGGAAACCACACAGATTGCACAAACCCAATCTCTTGTTCAGCAGGCCTGCGAGGGCTGATGCCCGCAGGCTGGCGCCTTCACGCCAGGATGACCCAGCCGAGGACGTCAAGGAAGCTGTCCCAGTCACTGATGATGAGGTTTCCAATATTGAGGGGGCAGCGCAACGTCTCGACATAACATACGAAATACGGTACTCTAAGGAAGTGTGGTGCAGCATCCTCACCAGATAACTGCAAGACTCATCAGGAGACTAGCTCATCAAGAGATGGTGATATGCAATATCTAATCCACTAGAAGTCTGCTGACATAGACGACTCCACGCTCTGATACACGATCTGCACTGCCTACGACCTCTTACCTCCCCGAGCTCTACCTCCAAGCTGCCGCGCCATGTTGCCCCTGGGGGCCCTCCCCCGAGAAGCTTCCCGCCCATGCTCCTGAGCGCCTCCGCCAACAGGGTCTCCACTGGGACGATGACCCCCTTCATGCGGTACATGTCCGTCTGCTTCTCTGTGGGGCTGAGGTGGTGCAGGTCGTGATGGGGGTCGGCGATCGCCTTCGTCAGGACGTCGTTGTCCTTCTCGTCCTTCACTAGAATGGTTTCGCCTCGGAAACTGCACATGCTGCGGGCCTTGCTCTCCTTGCCAGGCTTGTCGTATGCCGGGGGCACCACCAGCTCCTTGCTCCGCTTCTCCGCGTCCAAGGGCTGGGTCCGCTCGAAAATGGTCCTGAGCCGCGCGAGGGCCGCGAGTGTCATCTGGAACCGAGGGGAGGCGTCCGTGTGCTCGTAACTCATGGTAGCGCTGGCCCCGAAACGGCAGTGGAACGCTGGCGCTCCGATGTCGTCTCCTTCTGGAACCGACTTTCTCTCTTGCACGAACGCCTGGAATGGCTGGCTGATGTTGATGACTACTGCTGCTGCTTTCGTGGCGACCAGGGGCTTGAGGTGGCTCTTGTCCTCCAGGGTGCGGGCTCGGCCTTCTAGCTGCACGGGCAACGCCTGCATGGTGGCCAGGGTGTTGTCCACCTCGTCCTCCTCCTCCTCCTCCTCCTCCTCCTCCTCCTCCTCCTCCCCGCCCGTGGCCTTCTTGTCTGGTCCTCCTCCCGCCGCGCTGGCCCTCGAACTTGCCGTCCTTGCCCCAGGGCGCGCAATCCGCGACGGTGCATGCTCCTTCCTAACTGCTCATCGTACTTGAGCTTGCGTATGTAGAAGGACGGTGTGAGCACGGGTCGGATGTGGCTGCCGCAATGCTCGAAAACATCGGCTACCGACTCGCCCACGTCCAAGCGTAGGGGACACCTGAGCTCTTTGGGGTCCTCCCTGGGGCTAGCAGATCTAGATCTGAACTTCGGGCAGTCTCCTCTAGTCATGCTCGCGGATATGTGTTACCAAGCTATGCCTTTATCCCCGAACATGCTCTCGCATATGATGCAGTAGCTTGTCGTAGTAAGTACTTTGCCAATGTGCGACTTGCCGTGGCTTCCCCCGACGTAGCTGATATGTGTGCATCGAGCTGCATTTTGCTGGGCCAATACGTGCCACATGTGCTGCCATCTTCGAGCGTCTCCATGCACCTGTACTCGCCTCCTCTGTCGACGGCCTGAGCTGTCTCGTTCGAGGGAGCGGAGATAAGAAACAACCTGGCGCGGAACTCGTTCACGTCAAGCCGCACGACTCGCTGCAATCCGTGAACACTGGTATTCGTGTAGACTGGCTCCAGCCTCCATGGACTTGAGCTCGTCTGGGTCTTGCTGGGCTTGACGTGCCCTGGGGTTGGCGTGCTCTGAGACTCGACCGTCTTCAAACACTGGTGCATCAAACTTGGTCGGCCCGAGCACGGTCGAAAGGAACCGCGAGTTATCCTCACGCATCTCCACGAGGTTCTGAAGCCACTGAATAGCCGAATTCTCAATCCCCAAAGCAGCGGTGCAAATCTGATCGTGCGCATGTGCCCTGCTCCTTCGTCCCACCGTGCCGTGCCCAGCAATGTAGCTCGATCTCTGATCATCCCGAAACGCTGGAGGTGCCGAAGGCTTGCTTCTCTAAGGGGGCCCGGTCCATGCACGGCAACTTCGAGCCCTGGCAGGGCCGTGTTGATGAGGAGGCATTTCGCCATCGTGCGCTTCACCGGGAAGGGGCAGCTGCTGAACCAGAACCCGCCCATGGAGTGGTAGGCCGTCAAGGCCAATCTTTTCTGGAGCTCGGGATCAGGAGTGAACGTGGCCGACTGGAGGCCTCCGAGGCACTGAATGTGGTGCTTGGTCTTTCCCGCGATGCCAGGAACTCCTCCACTGCACAATCTGCGTTGGAGTCGGCGGGTCCCGCGGCCACGACAATAGCATATACGTTCCCTCGCTTTGCTGATGTTCTGCCCCGCTCCCACCGCCCCCAGTCCCTCGTCGATCGCTTTGTTCTTCATTCTCGCTCTTCCTGATGATGCACTCCTCCATGGCCCCCTCCCCCTGCTCCACCACCTTGTTCGCTAGATCGTCTACGTATAGCCCGTGAGGGCGAGCTGCTCTGGACAGTCTGGCTGCCAGGGCCGAGCAGTCTGCCGCCAAAGACGTCGTGCTGCACTGCATAGTACGCATTCGCGGCGTCGTGACATCTGAGCATGTGCGTGATGCCTGCTGCTCGCATTCGATAGGATCCTGCCAGCTGCACTCCCATGGCCGTCTCCCTCCTCCTCCGCCGGAGTCCCCCCGTGGAGCCGGTTGGGGGGTTCCCACTTGGGTTCCTTGCGTGCCAGAGCTGCTGCGTGAAACGCCCGCCCAAGACAGCAAAGGACCATGATCAAGCGTTCTCCGTCACAATCGAGCTCGTGATCGTTCTTCGGTAATCGTGCTGCCTGCGCGCTGTGCCACATGACTGGGAAGCGTCGGTGTCTCCGACACGCAACGAGTAGCGCCTTCATCGCGTTGCTCGTACGATCAATCTTGACAAATTCCTGGTCACATCAGATCCCCTCCCCTCCCTTGGGCCCCCTGTCGTTGACCCACTTCGGATGGAAGGCAAGCCTGAGGAGCTCGGGCGGAAGCGACCATGCTGGCCAAGTGCGCCAGCATCTCAGCTTCCACACGGGCTTGGTTCACTAGGCCCAGTCCTCGGCTGCAAGACATAGTGCCTCCGATTTCTCCATCAACCCCCTCCCCTCCTCATCGATCTTCTGCTTCACCTGTGTCGGATGTGTCAGTATGGCCCTACATCCTCCAGCGAGCGGGTCTAGCTGCATTCTCTGTGCCCACGACAGTGCCGAGGCGGAAATGCTGGCGAGAACTGCGAAACAGCGTTGGCGAGGTCCCCGCCTTTTGCAAGCTAATAGCCTAGCCAATTATGTACGAGGTAAGTGTTCTGGTCCTTAGCCGCTATACGCATTATTTGTGCCCTACGCTCCTGCATATATGTCCAATATTTCTGGCTGGCTGTGCGTATTAGCTTGCTTGTGTTTCTTATTTGGTGTGTGAACTGCTCGATGTCCTCCGCCGCTCCCCATACTTCCTCTCATGTCCCTCCTTTCCGTTAGCATTCGGGCAATATCTTTGGTGTGCTGCTTGTGGCTTTCTGTGTCAGCGGTGACTCAATTAGTTGTGATACAGCTGCTTGACTGAGTGCTCTAATCAGCAGCTCGTTCATCGCACCTACGTCCGCCTGCTTCGCTGCCGAATCAAACTTCCCCTTGATATTCGGAACCTCCTCCTCCATCTCGTTGAGTATTTCGTTTCGCTTGTGCCCAACCTGAACACATTGGTACAGTGCCTCTCGATCCGGCCTGGGTGGGCGTCGGGGAGGAGGTTCGACAGACAGCTGCGCAAAAAAGAGAAACCTGCCCCTCCTGTTCCGGCTCCTCCGTAGCCGTTTCTGGCCCAGGGCGCGCGGATGCCACCGCGCGCGCGCGCGCGCCCATGGTAGTCGGCATCGGCGTGCGACGCGTGCGCGGCCCAGGACGATGCCGCGGCGCCCAGGACGGGGCCTCCCCGGCCCCGGCGCCGCCGCGCACCGCGGCGGGCCCCCCGCCGAGGCCGCGGAGGAGCTGCCCGCCCTGGCGGGTCGGCTGCGGGCAGAGCTGGTGGCGTGCATCGCCGAGGGCACGCTGAGCCAGAGCGTCGCGCCGGACTTCCGAAGAGGAAAGCCCAGACATGACCGCGTCGTAAAAAAAGCCAGGGCGGCAAGTTTTTCGCTATCTTCGGCCCAGGGGGGCCCTCGCTGGCCCACGGGACCGTCAAAAGCCGATTCTGGATGAAACATCGGCCCCACGGAAAGGGTCTAGACTTCTGGGGGCGCCGCATTGAAAAAGTCAGGACGTCGCATGTCTGGGAAAGGTACCTATGCTGCTACCCTTCCCTCGTTTTCCCCTTTTGGGCGGCCTCCTGGGCGGCCCTCGTCGCCACCGCTGGATTCGCCTCGAGATCCTGGTCATAACGCACCCGGGGGGCCTGGGGAGCAGCGGTTTGGGCACTTTTTTCGTGTCCCCAGGACTGGGGGCAGAAGGGCTCGCCCTTCCAGCTGCTGGAGTGGGTGGGCGACTCGGTGCTGCACATGTTCCTGACGCAGCAGATCATGCTCCTGTTCGGCGCCGCGGGGGCGGACGAGGGCCAGATGAGCAGCGTGCGGTCCATCTGTGGGAGCACGCGCACCCTGGCCAGGGTCTTCCGCAGCCTCGACCTGGCCAGGCTGCTGCGGCACCCCGGGGGGCCCTCGGCGGCACCGAACTACCTGACCGACGAGAAGAAGGGCGCGGACGTGGTGGAGGCCATCCTGGGGGAGCTCTTCGAGGCCGTCAAGGGCGCCGCCGCGCCGGGCGGGCGGGCCCTGCCGCAGGCCAGCGGCGCGCTGCTGGGGCTTCTGGAGCTCGCCTTCCGCACGGGGGTGCAGGAGACCCCGCAGCGCTTCCGCCCGGCGGTCACCGAGACCACGCTGCTCCGCGTGGCCCTGGGGCACCCCGGCGCGAGCCCGCGGCAGGGCGGTGCCGAGGAGCACGCCGCGGACGCCGCCCGTGCCGCAGCAGCCCCTGCCGGTGGCGGCGCTGGGGCCGCGGCAGGCGCCGCGCCGGCAGCAGAGGCCGCGGCCGACAGCGCGCGCGCACCGCCGCGGCCGGGGCCCGCGCCGCCGCTGCCGCGGCGAGGGCCGCAGTGGTCGCAGAGGCCACGGCCGACGGCGCGCAGGCCTCGGGCGCTGCGGCCGACGCCGCCGCCACCGACCGCGGCGGCGCTGCCGCGGCGGCCGCGGACTCCGCGGGCGCCACTGGCGCCGCCTGCGGCGCGGCCGCCAGCGAGGACGGCGGCGCCAGCGCCGCTCAGGCCCCCGCGCCCGGGCCGCGTGGCGCCCCGGTGGACGGTAAAGATGTCGAGGACATCTCGGACGAGGAGTTCCTGCCCGCGGCGTGAGGTCGGCGCGGAGGACGAGGAGAAGCAGGCTCGGGAGGGAGCGGCACGTCTCGCTGGAGGCGTCGGCGGTTCGAGAACAGTATTCTGCGTGCTGCGCTCATGCATGACGGATGTGGTTCCCTCCGGAGGACGAGGAGCGGGAGAGGGGCGAGGAGGAGGAGGGATGAGGAGGAGGTGGAGAAGGAGGAGGAGAAGGAGGAGGAGGAAGATTGTTTGACATCCACGCTCAACGATCCAGTCCGTCTGCATCACCGCGGCACGGACGAAAATGCCGAAGAAGAGGAAAGCATTGGAGTCGAAGTAGACGTGTCGGGCCCCATCCCAACAGTCATGGCGAAGCTGCACAACTAAGCGACACCAGCGAAATACTCATAATACGTACCAGAAAACTCCCCAAAGGGACACATACAGCGCGAACCCGAACAGTCTCGTATTCTATCGGAAAGAGGCGCATCGCTGAAACACCGCAGAATGGAGACTGAAGCCAACGCCACTTCATGAACTCGAGGCTATACGGACTGACGGCCTGGCCCCTGGCCCAAGATCTGTAAGGAGTCCCGCTGGAATCCATCCTGCGAAATCTCGGGCAGCCACACCACTGATCACCTCGCAGTTGCCCCCGTGGAAGCCTTGGAGGGGCGCACCTGCGCGGATGGCCCCAGCCAGACTCTCGCGACGGCCGCGCTTGCCTGCCATCAGCCGGGGGCACGCCGACGACGACGACGACGACGACGACGACGACGACGACGACGACGACGACGACGACGACGACGACGACGACGACGACGGTGACGGTGACGATGACGATGACGATGACGATCGTCATCGTCATCGTCATCGTCACGCCCACCCCCTCAGAGCCGTCCACTGAAGGAGGTGTACCCCAGCGGTTGGATGCTGACCGCCCTCGGGAACCAGCACCGCCTCCCGCACTGAAGAGTACACAACAGATCCGCGCGTGCACCTGACTCCAAGGCCATGGCTGCACCTCGCATCGAACACGACGTCCTGCACCTCGAGCGGCTCCCAGCGCCCTGCACCAGGGCGGAACGGCGGGACCCCAGCGCGCAAAGCCGTACAGCCAGTGGCAGCCTGCACTGCTCCTCCCCGAGCGTGTCCTGGCGCTGCGCAGCCGCGGAGGCCCCCGGGCGCGGCCCGTGCTGCGCTGACTCCAGCGCGGCCGCGGTGACCGTCAGCAGCGCCCTGCCGCCAGCGCCGACAGGGCTGGCAGCGGGCAGCGCACCCGCGCGGCGACGCCGCTGTCCCCCACGATGGTGCCGGAGGCGCCCCTCGGCCTCCCGCATCGTGGCGACCGCTTCGTCCCGCTCCCGCTGGAGTGGCGACGAGGTGGTCAGCAGAGGCGCGAGCGGCCGCGGCACCTCGCAGCCCCCGGCCGGCATCCCAGGCTGGCCAACTCCCCGTGCCATCCTCCGCAGCAGCACGCCCTCAGCAGCACCGGAGCCGGACGCACATGGCAAGCCGGCTCGAGCCAAGGGGGTGCGCCCGCTGTCGGCGGCCATGAGCCAGCATGGCTACGGAGGGGGGGGGAGGGGGAGGAGGGGGAGGAGGAGGAGGAGAGGAGGAGGAGGAGGAGGAGGAGGAGGAGGAGGGGAGGAGGAGAGGAGGAGAGGAGGAGGAGGGGGAGGAGGAGGAGGAGGAGGAGGAGGAGGAGGAGGAGGAGGAGGAGGAGGAGGAGGGAGGAGGAGGGAGGAGGAGGAGGAGGAGGAGGAGGAGGAGGAGGAGGAGGAGGAGGAGGAGGAGGAGTAGGGCGAGCAGAAAGGTCACAGGCCTCTTGGCTGCCTCCTGGAGTCATTTCGAGTGTCTCGTCGGATGCTCCTTGAGAGCTCTTTGGGGTCCTCTGAGGGCGTCTTAAGGGGCCTCTTGGCAGGCCCGCGGGCCTCTT